ACGTAGTTCGTAATCACGACCCTGTGCCTTAAATTTTATAAAATTAATCAAAATTAACAAAACCCATATTTTAATCTCAAAAGAACATCATTCCCAATCAAAGTCAACCCACAGAAATTAACACAGACACGAACCTGGTTAGAAAGAAGACGATCATAAATGAATTTTCAAGAATAGGAACAGTAATTCACCAAACTATATAAAACCCTAGAGTAACTGCAAACCTTGATTAAAACGAAGCTGGTTTATGAAAGCTGAATCATCAGCAGTGAAGTCCAAATTCATACATACACATCTTGATTTAGATACATCTTATGAAACTACTCGGTGCATTCGAGTGAGTTTCGGTAATCAAAGATCAAACAAGTTAACAATTTCAACAGTAAAATCAATTTTCAATTACCTGTGCAGCAAAATCAAACTCAGGTCCTCTCTCCCACCGGCCCCCCCTCGCTCCCACCCACCTTTATATAAGCTGGTTGAATTGTCATTTTAGCCCCCTCGTCTTTTAAAAATATGCAATATAGTCCTTATAAGTTAACTTCTTGTCTGCTTATCCCCTTAGAAAATATAGACAACGCTCCTTGTTTAATATAAAGTTCAAAAACATTAAGGGGGTGTTTGGTTAGAGGCATTAAGCAGTAATTAATGGAAATGGAAAAAAAAAAACTGTTTGGTATCATATAATATAATTGATTCATCCCCCTAAAACAGAACAGCCCTTGAGCTGAATACTACTCCCTTCTCAAAATAAATATTTAGTTGTCCATCATAAAAAATACGCATAGTTTTAGACACGTGTAATTATTACAGTATTAGTAGTTATAGATGGAGTGAATAATTTATTCGTCTTATAATTAAAGATAAAACTGAAAATCAGGTATTTTATTTTTGAAAATCGACACTTATTTTAAGACAAACTAAAATAGAAATGTAGACATGTATTTTGAGATGGAGAGAGTATTTGATTTTTGTTTCATACTTTTCTTAAAAATTGTAGTAGGTGATCTTGTGATAATTGAGTAGAGTACAGGGGGGGTTTTTGAAAAATAAAATGATTGGAAGAGTGGCCGTAGATATGCAGGATTGTTGATAGACTGATTAAACTAACGGCTGGGATTGAACTCCTCTTCTAGTTTGATTTACCAATAAGATTTTTACACGTGGCTATGACAACTGCCATAGGCGGTGGGTTGCAAAGAAAACTAACCATTTGTCTTTAAAAACACATTTCTATTCAAAATTTTAATTTAATTCATTATTTGTTAACGCGGAACTTTTTTGTGAAGCAAAAGAAAGGAAGGAAAAGTGGATTAAAGTTAAAAAAAACTTGTGTTTTCGAGACGTTTTTTTGAAAACGGAAGGAAAGAAATTATAAAGGACGTTTGGTTCGTCGGATTTCGACGAAATCTGATGAAATTAGAATGATCAATTTCGTTGACCATATTTCGTTCATGTGTTTGTGTAACATCCAATTTTTTTTTATATGCCCAATTATTTGCTAAGTATATTTAATTATTAGGTTAAAGAGAACTTATGATTTAGTAGGATTTTAGGTTTGAAATTTTAGAATTATATTTTTTTTTTTAATATATTAGAGGATTTGGAAAATTTTACGTCGAAAAGATACGTAAAACGGATTTTTTTGGGAGATCTTTTTTGGAATATTTTGTTGGATGTTATAGATTATCTCTTTAGGAACGTGTAGACGAAAACCTCATAGAAAACAGAGGTCCGAGCGAAAAGTTATGAATAATTTAAGTGTTGATGGTCAAAATGGGTACCTAGCCGGACCAACCCGGCCCAACTCGAGTTTTAGCATTATAAATTGGAGTTTTGGCCCATTTTTCTTGTCATATAAGTCCAGAACTCACACACACACACTAGAGGTACGATTTTCACACACATAGCCTTGATTCAACTCAAATCAAAGAGGAACTACAAGATCTTGGAAGGATTTGATCATCAAGTAAGGTATAATCTATTTTTACACTTGTTCTTGGTTGACATTCTTGTTTTATGGATTGCATGTTGAGATAGAGTTAKGGTTTCATATGGGTTTGATCTTAAGTGTATAAAATGAGTGCTTTTTAGTGTTTATGGCTTGAAATGATCATTAGATTCAAGAGATTATCAAGATTTATGCAAGTTCAKCATATGAACTTTGACTTGATTAAGTCAAAGATTTGGGAGATAATATAAATGATAAAATAAAGGTTGGATTTTGGTTGTTTATGTCAACTATGTTATATTAAGTTGAGATTCAGAAGTTGGAATAATTTGGAATCGAAATGGTTTGAGAAAAATGTTTAAAAATGAGAATGTTGACTTAAGAATGCATTGAAAATGTGCAGACTTTGAAATTCTGTATAAAATCGTAGAAAAATCCAAATGAGATGAGACCAATTTCCTTAGTTAGATATTTGAGTCTAGTTTATTTCTTATTTTATGATCAAGGCATGAATTCGAGCTTAAAATGGGAAAAACAGTTCTACATGCAGCAACTGTACATAGAAATTTAGGTAAAATGTTCAAATAGGATATGTGTATATCATGAGTTTCTTATATTGGTTGCTTATGAGATTTTGTACATTTACTTCAAGGGATAATTAGGACATGATTTGATACTTTGGAAGCAATCTAATTGTGGTAGATTGGACTTGCTTTGTGAGCTCAATTCAGAGCTTTTCGGTATTATACGGTTGTCCGGTGAGTTATATAGTTAATTGTTACATATTGATTTGAACATATATATTTTCATATGAATGTTTTTGGTCTTGAATGGAGTCACACGATCTTGATTTGTCTTTGATTTCGTCTCTTGAGTCGATTCCTTATTACTATCTCGGTACATCGGTTTGCTTTCTGAATCCGGATTCGTTGTTTTGTTCCTTGAATTTGTACGCCATAGTACGGGTACTACTTCGTGTGGTACACCGGAAGTTTATGGTGAAGTCAAGATCCCGGGTTGGACGGGTGAGACTTTATGCGATTGTGAATAGTCATTGCTCGAAGAGGGAGCAATGAGTAGGGAACCTTGGCACATACCCGGTAGAGGAAGGCRGGCAGTGCGAGGKTTCCCGTAATGTATGATTCTGACTCGGACTTTGGCAAGAGCCCGGGAGGTGAAGGATGATGCACTGTCCTCGTTATGTTTACCGATTCGATCTCTTGGTTCTTGATATTTATTGGTATTCTAACGTTGTTGAATATATTTGGTCGTTGAGCCTGTCTCCTTGTTGTATCGAGCATCAATGGTATGGTGTATTATGGTGATTTGAATATGGAATCCTATAATCTTAGCATCCGGTACGTAATTGTTCACTCGGTTTCTTGTAAGTCTCGGTTTCTTGTAAGTCTCGGTTTGCATCAGGACGATGTCTTGAACTCTTTTATTGATAAGAGTTTATTATGTATGTTTATAAACATGTGCGATATTGATATGTAATACTTAACTATTTAACTTACTAAACGTTGGCTTACCATTTAAGTGGCAACCTCTCTCAGGAAAAAAGACGGATAAAAAGAAAGAACCCGTCGTTTGACTTGAAGATTTATCGGGGATCTTGAAGATATCGATCTTGCTTTTGGGTAAATAGTAGCTTGTATATAGTCTTGTCCCGTATTCTTTTGCTACTTAATTCGGGTTGTAATTAAAAATCCGTTATATCCGGTTTGAAATTGTGTTTTGGGTGGTTTTATCACTAAAATAGAACGGATATTTCGATGTTTTTCTAGAAATTAATATCTCATATTTTGAGGTTAATTAATGTTATGCCCAGATTTGTGTGTTTCAAAGTGTTGGCCTCTGGTTCTTCATAGCCTCTGGACCGATGCATCGCCTCTGGTCTTCTTCCAAACTTAGTCGTTTTATCAACATTTTTTTAGATTTTCCATCCTTGGCCCCGATTGCTTTGACAAAACTTTTAGAATAATTAGGATTAATTTTGGTCCCAATAATCAATAAATTATATTTTATTGGAGATTTTATAAAAATTGGTAATTTGGGGTTTGCTCAAGCGAGATGTTACAGTTTGTTTCTTCCTCTGGACAATAAGTTTGTTTCTTTCTCTATCAATCAAACGTGGGTCTCAATTTGGTTTTCTATCCATTTTGGGTTCTTGTTTCTCAATCGATTCAGGTGGCGTATGGCAGCCAGAAGAATGGTGCTGAGTTCGCGTTTCTCTTTCTCGATATGGGTCTCGATTCGATTTTCTATTTATTCTCGTTTCTCACTCGGTTTTCAATTTTCCAGGGAGGAAGAAAGGTGTTGGGATGGTGTATAAGAGGGACGGTGGTTGTTAGATAAAAAAAAATGAAAGAGGATTAAAAAATGGAGACAATGGTAATTCTACATATATATTATTTTACATTAAATGCTAAGTTTATTATTATTTATAGTTAAATTTACAAAAATACATCAAAAAATGGTTTTTTTTTTTTTTGTCAATTTTCATTAATCCATTCTAATTCCTTTGTAAACCAAACAGACAAATTCCAATTCATTTGACATATTTCATTCTATTTTCTATCAACAAAACACTTGGTCAAACCGGATAACATTTTTAATTCTTTTGACATATTACATTCCTTCCAAAAACATTCTACGAACCAAACACCTTAAGTTTCCTCCCAAAACTTTCCTTCCAAACGTGGAAGGAAAGGAAAAGAAAAGAAAGAAACTAAAACTTCTTTAAAAAATATTAAAATTACAAAACTATCCAACATTTTATAATAAAGAATACACATTTCCTTTCCTTTCTCTCCTGTTTGTTTACGAACATAAATCATTATTTTCTTGATTTTCCTTTACTTCCTTTTTTTTTCCTTCCCTTTCTGTTCTTTTCTCCCCAAGTTCAAAAACACAGTGTAAAAAGAACATTCAGCGGAAAACCACAAAAAATCTAAATATTGTAAACACCCTAACAACCATTCACTTGTCAAGTATCTACATGTGCGTAAAAGTAATTGAAAATGTTTCATGTTTTCCATGCACATATGCAAAACAGACAAATTACCTTTATGCACATTTGTATATCTAAAAAATAAATGGTTTTCTCAATTTTTTATTTAGATGTACGTATGCTTACCAGACAAATTACCTTCATGCATATATACATATAGGACAAATGAATGATTATTTGGGTATTACTGTCTTTTTATTTTTTATGGTTTTTCCCAAACTCCCTTTGTTAATACATCATAGGCATGCATAAGAAGTCTAATGGGATAAACCATTGTCTTACATAATATGATTTTGATATCTTGTGCATTACAGCATCATCTAGTGTCATGAGAGTCTCTTGAACATATACACAACTGTGAAGATATGTTTATACTGTGTGAAGGTTACAACATTTATAGAATATAATTTAACCTTCCAATACACAGTGAATGGAAGTTACAATCTTAACATAATATAACGTAACATTCACTCAATATAAGAGTATCTTCACTGTACTCAGCCTATTTCTCACGTGATCCCAACTCTTGGGTAGACACATAAGAAAGTAACAGAAAAGAACACGAATGTGTTTTACCCGTGTTGCTTTTGGCACTTGGATAAACGCTCAACGACTTCATTCCATGCTGCAGACACAACGAAACTAGTTGAGCGAAAAAGTGTAAAAATGTTTAGCATCATAAAGATCCATGAAGATACCTACCGGGAAACTTTTTATAATCAGGATCTATTCCGTTCCCATTTATGTCCAAATGATTTGGCGTGACATATTTGCCGACAGTGACCACGACGCCAGATCCATCATGAAGTTCAAATACAGACTGAATCAGACCCTGATAATGGTCAAGAACGTTAGAATTTACCATAACTAATCAGGAATCGGTTAAATACTTATATTCAGTTAGCAGAGAGGCAGACCTTTCCATATGTCCTTTCACCAACAAGAATGGCTCTACAGTTGTCATGAAGTGCAGTTGCAACCTATAAGAAGTATCAAAATCACTGGTTAGACTTGTGTATTAATATATATATATATATATATATATATAGAGAGAGAGAGAGAGAGAGAGAGGGGTTCAGGGGAAAACCCCCAAAAAGCTAAAAACACCTTAATAACCGTTCATCTGTATGGTATGCACATGTGCATACAAGTAATTGAAGAGGTTTCATGGTTTCTATGCACATGTGCATAATAGAAAAATTACTTACAAATTACTTGGATGCAGATGTGTATACCGTACAGATGAATGGTTACTAGGGGGTTCCTCAGTTTTTCATTTTTTTGAAGTTTCCCCTAAACTTGACCTTATATATATATATATATATATATACACACACACACTACTGACGAACAAGGTCGAAGAAGATGTAAAATGGTAACGAGAGTGCTTACTATTTCACTTGCGCTAGCGGTATTTTTGTTCACTAAAACCTGGATTAGAAATAATTAAACACATTGTCAAGCTTTTGATTTATTGGAGTCCCACGTTGGCGACCATTTCTACTTCCCTTCTTTCCTCAAGGGCTCGTTTGGAGGGTAATGGAATGGGGTTTCCAAATATTCACGAAATGCTCTCAAACCCACCACGAGTTTTATAATAACTATCAAGTTTTCACATAACTCTAATAAGTAGGAGTTGCCAAGATAGATATCGTACAATGACAGGAGCTGTAACAAGAGGCACCGTTTCTGCTACTATACTTCTTACGCTCTGAGGTTCCCTTCCAGCAGTATATATTACCTGTTAATAGCCAACCAAACCGTTAGATGGTAGATCATACTTCACCTTATAGTGAAAATAGATGCAAGATAGGAATGGAAACAATGGCAGAAGGGCAAAAGGGGAACTAAAAGAAATGCATGTATTATACAATTATAGATGTAAAAGGGGTGTTAGATCACTTAGGGGCTGTTTGGTTGGTTTTCTGTTAAGTCCTATACAGATAAAGTGGCTTGTATGGATTAATCAGTCTTTATAGATAGGGAGGGTTTTTTCATAGATGGAAGGAGCGTGTTTTTTAATTGGGAGGGACATGTTTGGAAAAAACTTGGCTTTCTACATAAAGTTTCCCCCTAAAAACTTACTGGTCAAGCTACTTTCTATATCATTAAGCCACTACCAAATAGTCATGTATAGCGAACCGAATAAGTTGAGAGTTGCATTGAGCTCGTTAAGCTGCTAACAAACAGGCCCTTACCGTCTCCCCTTCATTTAGAAATAGTTTGGCAATTTCAATACCCTCCTGTACCAATCCACCAAGATTATCTCTAAGATCAAGAACGAAGAATGAAGCTCCCATGCCTTGAAGTCTCCTCATTGCTATCAAAACAAAATCATAAGAAAATTTTAGTTTCAAAAAGGGAAAGAATGAGTTTAGCATTTTATGATATGATCCCACAATATGATCTCTATTACTAAAATTGAAATGTACCCGTAACCAAATCCTTTCTAGCGAGTGCATTGAACTCTTTCAAACGCACGTATCCAACTGAAGTCTTGCCATTATCCATTTGTTCCAAGCGATAGAAAACCGGGGTTTTGGCAACAAGTTGCCTTTGGACCTCAATAGACTGTATAGGACCACAATTACCATGCTTGACCTGAAAATCATAAATTTTTATCACAAAGTTAGATGAGGATAATTCATATCAAGCTGTAAATGCAAAGTGTTTATTTAGGATTACAACCATGATGTTTACGGATGTGTCATTGGGGCCTTGTAATATTGATAAAGCTTCAAATGTTGATTTCCCCTTCACATTTACTCCATTGACAGATAATAGTTCATCTCCCTGTAGGAAGATAGATTGCACGTAAAGTCAACCAAATCAAAAAGAGTCTATATATACTTGTGTGTGTGTGTCTATACATGTACACATATATGTATGGATGAGGTTTCAAATACAAACCATGTAATTCTTAACAAACCATAACCAACGTTTATATTAGGAAACAATTGAGATATTAATGGATAATAATCATGATTCATTCATAATGACCAAGATATTTATGGAAGATGATAAGGTTCATTGATAATGATCATGGTTTTAGATTAGGAAACTATGGTGATATTTATGGAACTAGATATTAATTAGACTAGATGGAGGTTAATATTGGTTTGTATGGTTTGTATTTGAAACATATTCTATTTGTATACGTTCATAAATATACATACATACACACACATACATACACATCGAATGTTCAATGGTACACATGTTGATGCTTTGGACCTTTGGCTTAGTACATTCAGAAAAGGTAGATACTACACAACATATTATGTGTGCATGTGATTTTAACGTGTTTCACATATGTTATGCCTCATTAGCAACGAATACAAAGTGATTCTACAATCATTTGGAGATTGCTACAAATAGAAAACAACGGAATTTTTAACTTTTTTTTATCAGAACACGTAACATTGATATATGTAGGATTACAATAACACAGATATGAGGTTTCAACATGATATTTCTGAAAAATGCCAATTAGCATAATATAAGTCGATGCCAAGTTCTTCTGGCAACACTAGGGACAACAAAACACGTTTCCCAGCAGAAACAAGAAAACATAATGGTTACCAAAAGGACCGTAAGGATGTAGCAGAGCATATATATATGTGTGTGTGTGTGTGTGTGTGTGTATAGATTAGGAATTATAAGTACCTGTCTTACACCGGCTGTATGGGCAGGGCCATCCAAAATGAGCCCCAAAACCATTAATTTTACTTCGCCATTTTCATCAGGAATTTCCCTGAGGTTAACTCCAATTCCAGACATATCATACCTCGCCATCTTTGAGAACTTCAAATATCGACGAAAGGAACAAATGCCATGGAATAAGACACTGGAAAGTTTGTAAGTGAAAACAACAATTATATAACATCAAATTCAAATGATGAAATGGTTAAAGAAAATTTTTATATTAGTATTAGACTATTACATAAAACATATGAAAATATCACTTGATGCATCCCAAAGAATACTACAACTGGATTTTGAGATGTCTCAAGTAATTGTTGCAAATACCAATTATTTCCGGTCCAAAATGACCACAAGATCCAATGCCACAACCCCAACAACATACGGATGCAGATTGAAATGTGCTTAACAACTCCAAACAACAACAATGATCATCGATATGCAACTAAGTACATCAAAAGCAAGTAAAATGACATGTGGTTCATGAGAACCAATTACCTCCGCAGGAGAAAGAAAACGTGTATAAGGGTCGCCTAAGCTAGATAACATCCTCCGGATTACATCATGAGCTTTTGATCTTGTTGGGAGTGATGTACCCATAATATCTTCCTTCTTTTGCTACAAGATAAACATTACATATTTTATTAACAAACCTTTGCATAGAAACCAATTATGAGCAAAAGAATAATTCAAGCAACAGGATTATGTATGATAACACAAAACGTAGTGGATATAAAATCTTTTCAATAAGAATGCATATTAAACTAACAACATTAACAATGAAATACTGAAGTTGAAGGATTTCAACTATTTTTTCAGGCTAAAACCAACCCTAAGTTTCGAAATTCATTAATGATAAGTGATGCATTTTGTTTCAAACTCTAAAATTGAGACAAGATTCAACAGATAGTGAGTAAATTAACAAAGAAAAAGAAACCCTATAACTAAACACAAAGACACATAACGGTTTTGTGAAAGAAAGAGATACACACAAGCCAAGATTGAGGAGACCATCGATTTCGATCACCACCAAGAAAACTATCATTAACAATCTCCCATGCTTCCTTCACAATTTCTTCATTTGTCACCAATTCAGGAGCCCTTTCAAACCTCCTCTCCTCTTCTCTCCGTTGATCTTCTTCCCGACACTCCGATTGAAAGACTGAAGGGGTAAAATCCGATGCGATTGAAGGCGGAGGAAGGGGAGATAGCGGTGAGAAGAAGAGGAGATTGAAAGAGAGTGCAGCCCCAGTTAGCGAACCGATTAAAGAGGGTTTTTGAGGAGGGATAAGCAGAGGTTTTTGAGGGCGGTGATGAGCGATTGGTGGCGGGGAGAAGGAAAGGGAAGAAGACGATGAATTACAGAGGAGGAAGACCCTCATCTTCTTCACTGTTTTCCCCTGTGTGTGAGGATACTGCTCCTGATTCCGTTCGTTAGTCGTTGGTTGGTACACGTGATAATCTGGGTCGGGTCGGGTAAAAACATTAGGCCATCCTAAATGGTTGGGTCGGATTGTACCACTAAAATAGTTTTAAGGGGCCATTTACCATAAATGTTTACCGCCGTCATTTACCGAACATGATAAGAATCGAGAATTTACTCTGTAAAAGACATAACAAAAATCAATAATCTTACTTGATAAAAAAAAAACTTACCATAATCCATTTTGGTAGAATGTTAACCGTTGAAATAACTAAGGTGGCGTCTGGTTTGCATAATGTTTTTGGATAGAATGAAATTTGTTATTTGACTTTGAAATAATTGGAAATAGAATATTGTCAGGTTTGACCACCTCTTTGGTTGACAGACATTAGAATAAAATATGTTAAGAAATTGGAATATGTTTATTTAGTTCCTAGAATGTAGCTTTGGAATTTGAATGAGATATTGATAAATGACCAAAATGTCCTTTTTGAAAATTTTAATTTTTGTAAAACTAAAAATACTTTGATAAAATAATTATTTAATATGTAAAACAATATAAAATACACAATGCAAATATAACCATAAGTCAAACGACATTATTAAATCAATGCTGGTAGGCAGTGGTTCAAATCGATGGTGATCCACGGTGGTTCAGGTCGGTGGTGGTCGGCAGTGGTTCATATGGCAATAGTCAGCGGTGGTCGGCAGTGGTTCATATGGTCAGTGGTGATTCAGATCGACGGTAGTCGAATGTGGTCGACGATTGACATATTGAGTTTTATGAGATTGGGATATATTGGGTTAAGAACATATTTGGTATTATAAAAATAGAGAATTTCATTTCATCAAAATATCATACAATTGCTAAAGAATATTAAATTCATTTATTCATGGAATTTGTAGGATTTTGAAGATTCCTTCCGTAAAAAAAAAAAAGAACCAAACAAAAGAATAAAATTTAATCAATAAAATTCAACATCAGATTTTTCTAAAATCTACAATATGTATGGCTCTTCATTCCTGACATTTATTTTATTTAATAACAAACAAATATATATAAAGTTATGAGGTCATAATCAATATAAAAAAGCACAAATGCTTTTATCAAGGGTAATAATGTACATGCCAATAGCCAAAATATGTTCCATCCTTCAAAACAAAACAAACCAAGCCAACACACCCAACGCTCATGTAGCTGAAAACAAACCCCTACTACACACACAAAGCAAGTTTGTACCAAATTTGATTCCACCCATACCTCATCAACAAAATAACATGATACAATAATTGTACTCCAACCCGACAATAATCACATCTTCACTTCTATCACCTACACATAACTAAACTACACTAACCGTTAATACTCGCTGTAGACGAAATAGCAACATCTTACCGATTCATGGCTTCTCGAGGATACATCGTTCATAAAGCGCCACGAGCTCTTTCTTGTTCGGGTTCTTCAGTTGAAGCAGCTCAGCACCAAAGTTGTGTTTCGTGAGCTCTTGTTTCAGTTTCAAAATGGTGAATTTCGTATGATCTTCGCTACTGGTTTGTTGACTCTGGTTATCTTCATCGCCTTTAAACAAGGAGCCACCATCTTGAGGGCTAGTCGTGCTCCTAGACCTCTTGCTTGCTCTTCTTCTATTTTCAACATCCATTTCTTGAACCGAATCCGTGCCCATTGTGTCTTCGACTCTAACACGTTTTCCATGGGAAGCGGTTTTAAGCTTACCATCGAGTGCAGATTCGTTTAGGCGGACGGTAGTCATTTGTTGCTGGAGCAAGTCGAGCTTCCCCTGAGTGGCTTGTAGCTGAACAGAGAGTGCTTCGGCCCGGTTATTAGCTTCAGCCCGAGCTATCCGCTCGGTCTCGAGAAGGCCTTCGAGGACGTGTACGGTACTAGCCCTTTGTTCGTTGTTTGATTTTAGTAGCGTTTCAATCTCTTTCTCCCTTTCTCCGACCCGTGCCTCTAGCATCGTGACTTTAGATACAGCATCCATCTCAGCAGCTCGGAATCTATCCAACTCGTTAGCTAGGTCCTTTGTTTGCCTTTCAAGGTTCTCTATACGTCTTTCGGACCTCGCGATTTCGGTTAATCTTTCGCCTGCTAACCGTTGGATCTCGCTTTTTTCTTTCTGAGCAGTGACTGCTTCGGCGCGTGCAGTATCGGCCAACTCAGTTGCTCGTTTAGTTTCCTTTTCGGCATTTCTACATCTTTCCTGGACTTCCTCAAACCTGTCAAACTCCGATCGATATTTCTGCTCCAAATGAACTTTTTCTTGCTCCAGAATCTTTGCTTCTCTTTCGTAAGATTGAGCAGTGGCATTTGCACTTTCCAACCTTTCTCCCAACTCCTTGATCTGACTTTTCAAATAAGATACTTCTGAATCGTAATTTGTTATCTTTGACTCGGCAGTCTGGGAAACAATCATTGTACATGTCATCAATTCCATGTGCACATAAAACATTTGAAGGAAATTAAAACCAATCCGTCCTGTGGTTTTGTTCACATGCATAGTCCCTCCCCCTAACGTCCGTTAAATGTTAAGTTGAGAGGAATTTCGGTCATTTTGCCTTTTTTTAGTTAAAGTGAAGTACTTTCCAATGGTGGTTTATTAAAGCAATTTCAAATATTGATAAAATAAGTCAAAATAACCAAAATGCACCTCAACTTGACCGATGCTCTTATCTGACGTTAAACTGAGGGACAATCCATGCAAACAAATTCAAATGACGGGGGTCTGGTCCAATTTCTAAACTGGGGTGACGATTGGTTGTAATTTACCCTAAATTAAACTTTGATGTAGGTGACGAAGGGCAAAGGGTCGCTCACCTTTAGTTGCAAACTCAAAGTCGTCACACACTGCTCCGCGTATTCAAGCTTTGATGCCCTATCTTTTAGTTCAGCTTCCTATAATTTCAGTTGTGGAGAAATCAAATCAAGCTTCAATGTTACATAAAAATAAGACAAACATAAGAGATTAAGCAAGAGATATCACCTTCTCAGCCAATGTACCAGCGAATTCAGCTCTAAGAGTATCTTCTCGATGTTGTGTTTGTTTACTTGAACGGTCTTGCACAGCAGCAGCTTTCTCGAGTGCACTCTTTGCTTCTCTAACAGCAATGTCGTATTTACGTTTCCACTCCTGTGCCTCCTCTTGAGCAGACATGGTTTGTTCTTGTGCAGCAGCTAATCTCGCCTCAGCAGCACTGTTTCTCGCCTTGAGATTTGCTACTTCTGAGCCAGCCTGATCTTCTAAAGCTTTTTGCTTAGATAATGAAAGTTCGTATTTTCTTTTCCATTCCGTGGATTCCTGTTTAGCGGCTTCCAGAGTTCTTGATAAACCGGAGCATCTTTCATCCAATGAGCTCGAGTTTTTCTGAAGATTTGTTATACGACTCATATAATCCTGTGAAAGCTTATTTTTGTCATTGATGGCATCCTCATAGCGCTTTAAGTAATCGGATTTGTACTTCTCACTAGCTTCTAATTGCTTGCTAAGCAATTCCATTTTATCTTCAATTGAGCGGCATTTCAGCTGGAGGGAACTCTTCTCTGAAACAATATGGTCTATTTGCTTCTTGACAAGATCAAGAATTGGACCTTCCAAACTTGAAGGTTCAAAAGAAAAATAAAATGTTAAAATCTGGAGAAAAGCTAGCAAAGTGGATTCAATCGGTATAAATGTCAAACCTTTGTCGTAAGAATGAAGTTAGTTTCTGCCATTTTTCAGGACCATGCGTAGTTGCTTCATACTTTGATAAAAGCCGATCAAGAACCTACATGACGACAGCAACCATTTTAAGCCCCTTAATCGTGCGAATCCCACAATCAATAAATTACTTGTTATCTCAGCCTACCCTTAACAACTGAAATAAGTAAATTACTTTTTCATAAGTAATCAATTGGCATGAAATTTAGACCAAATGCCGGTTTCCATGTAACAAATTACTACATTTACCTGACAGAGTAAGCTAAAGGGAAAAAATTACCTATATGCAAACTGTAAAGGTTGGTCATAATATTTTACTGTAGTGCTTCGAAGTCTTACCATGTCCAAGTATTTTCTTGAAAAATGTACCATCTCCACCAGGAAAAAAAAATCCAAATTTGGCTTCTACACATTAAAGTGGATACCTTTTAAATAATAAGGTAATACTCCCTCCGTCCCAAAATTAAATGTCCATATTTATATTTTAGTTTGTCCCAAAATAGATGTCCACTTTTGAAAAATAAGTGATTACTTTCCATTCTACCCTTAATTAGGAGATGGAAAATTTAATTACTCCCTCTATTGTTAGGGGTAGAAATATCATTTAGTTCATTAAAAGTGTAATAATTACACTTTTCTAAAACTGTGGACACTTATTTTAGTAGAGAGGGAGTAGAAAATAAAAATTTGGAGCTAAAAAACTTTATACATCCATGTGGTCTTCCATCAGAAAAGTGCTAAGTTTGAATTTTCAAAATAAAAATCAGATTCCAAGTATTTGAGCATGACATTGATGGATGCATCATGTTAACTTCACCACCAGAGAGCATACTTCATTCTGACATAATGTATAAAGGGTTACATGTATTTTAAGAGAGGTAAGCAAATGATAAAACAGTCACGAACTTTGCATATAGCTGTCACACAATCCCAACATATATGCTGAGGAATTGCTTAAAAGCAGGTGCAGCACTTGATCAGTTTTATAAAAGCACGAATTTCTGTTCTTTCAATGTGTAGATGGACACTTGATATTTGAAATAGTAACTTGCAACGAAGTAATGTGCAGCATAAACGCATAATCACATCTCTACTTTTCATTTATTAAATTCCTCATATAAATATAATGTATCCCTACATATTATCATTACCCTTTCCTGAAATTGGTCACGTCAACCATTCTGTTGTATAGTATCTGTTTTATGTGACATGATTATAATCATCATGGAATGCTAAATGCCTGCTAGGGCTACCACAAATGACTACTGAATGCTCCAATATTTTACTTTGAGAAGCTAAAGAAATACATTTACACAGACAAAAGAAACAGAAACAAGATATAAGAACGTTTAACAGATGAAAGTACACAAACTCCTTAGAGCATGCACAACTTCCACTCATGCATTTGACTCAAAAAAAAATGACAACCGCTGTTCATTTATTCTTTAAGCTCACAATCAATACTGTGCGAGCTGATTTTCAACACTCAATACAAACTTTCTTGAACATTAACAGTCAGCATTGAGCAAAGGCCATAACAATTCCATACATAGAAAATAAGTATAATAATACCTTTAGAACATCATCTAATTTTGTGGAAGGGGCCTGACAAGTTTTTCTTAATTCCTTTTCCATGTTCTGTATGGCATTCGAACATTGCAAGTAAGCCTCCCTGAAGGCATTCCTCTTATAATCCTGCAATAGTTTAACAGCCAGTAAAAACAAGAATAAATGGCTAAACAAAAGGCCACAAACTTCAAATATTTTAGGATGAACTCTTTATCCATAACGAACAAGCTATGAATAACATAAAGAATAGAAGTCTAGTTTGTGATTCTGACATATAACAATGCTTTTCCCTTTTGTACTTTTGTAAAAGCGAACCACTCCTGAACAGAATACATGATAAAAATCTGAAATTCAAGTGCATTGAAAGTTTGAAACAACATCATCACTCTAGACCTCAGAAAAAATAGCAGTTGCACTCAAATGTACTCTCCTAATTCTTGGTTTAGTAAAACAAATGCATTCAAAAGACTGAACTCCCACAAATCCTATGCTGAATATATTACAGGCAATGAACTCTAAAGACTAGCATATTTATGCCGGCAAACTGTAAGTTGGTAGCTTGGTGGTGTATAATCATCAAGGTATTTTGGAATTTCTAGCTTGTTAGAAAACCCAATTTTGTTGGTAAACCCGATATTCCACATACTATCAACTTCAGAGATCAAGAATTAAATAAATATATTTCAAAAACTTGTGGCTTTAGAAAAATGATGCTGAACAAAACTAGCATGTAAAAATAACCGTCACAGCTTTTATACTGGTGTTACAGTCTATTAATATACAGTAAATAAATTATGATGAACATCCCTAGGATCTGTAGTGCTAACTTTCTCTTTTCATTTTAGCTGGGAAATAACTAAAGCAAATGATGATGTTCCTCTGAAAGATTTGCAATTGTGAAAAACCGGTGCATATTTCAGTAGGTAAACATGAGTAATGTTTGGTAAAAGATCACAAGGAGGGATGTGTGTTTATAAGAAACAGTTCTGAATATTTTAATTGTTGATCGCAGGCAGACCATTAACAATCTAACGGAGGCAGCACAGAAAATTACCTCAAAAGCCTTCCTCAAAAATGTATGAAACCGTTTTTCATATTTTTGCCTTGCAGAACCAGTTCCCACAGCAATGGCATTAAAAGTGGCCACCGCCTTTTGAACAGCCTCTTCATGTGCTTCTCGCATTGCAGCCTACAATGATTTGGAGAGGTAGATTATCTAAACACTCATCCTTTGGGTTAAATAAAAAAAATGAAGATAATGAATCATACCTCCTCAGGCGGCTTTGTACGATCGAAGATGGACACATAGAGTTCAGTAGCCGAATCATATGCCCTTTCACACTCTGCTTCTTCAACACTCTGTAAATGAAAAATAGATGAGACCGACACCTCATTTACAAAGTGCCAACGCAGCACCTCAACATAGTTTACCATAAATATATACACCTCCAGAAACCACGTTCTCTATGGGATGATTAAATGTAAGTGAAAAATAAGACTATCAAGTTCATCAGTTTCCTTGTGTCACTAGCCTCAGACTTCAAGATACATGTCCTGCAACATTATGCAGGCAAAGAGTGGTCGGAACACTAACTTATCATCTCGGTCTGCAGTATTATTTATGGTCATATGTTGTATGAGAATTTTCCTCTAAAGATGGATTAACAATAAAACATCAGCATTATTCAAGCATGTACTTCTACAATTATTAGTATGAAGCCTATCAACTAATTATGTGACAAAAGAAAATTTTAAGTTACAGTTACTAAATTACAGGGTAGGTTGTGAGACGTATATAAAACTTAAGAAATTTAAGGAGCCTCATTCATAAAAGAGTCCTCCCAACTACCATTCTTCCAAACTGTGACTGTGAAACAAGATGAACTGCCAAAAAAGACAGAAAAATTCAAACCAATAATCATAGAACATCATAACAAACAAATTACTTAAAAACTAACCTGCCACGAGGAGGTTATTGTAGGCACTGCACCGTTATTAAGAGCATCTAAGAAGGATTGAGTGATACGAGCAAAAATGGGTCCAGTCATAACTGTGGCCCCAACTTGCTTGGGCCTGGTCCTCTCAAATACAAACCTTGTCAAAGCATCTAGTCCTGATTTGAACTCTGGCCTCATTTTCTCCAACTACGTATCACAAACAAAAAGAAGATATGAAGGTGTTGATAAAGCAAAAGACTAATTAATGCAGATGGTTATGATATTATCATTAATGCATCACTTGTATTGTAAATTGTACTAATGGTACTTGTATTGTACTAATAATAGTCATGTTCATGAAAGATATCACTGACCGGAATCTGGTCAAGTCGCTGAAGCTCATTCTCATTGTTCAAAGGCCTAACAAGAGTAAAGCAGTCTCTATCCGGAAAAAGAGCGCGGATGGATTCTCGAATCTAGCAATTATCACATGTTAAGAAATCTAATAAAACATGTGCAAAAAAAACAGCAGAAACGACATTGTATATTCTAAGACCAGCATCGCATCAACTCAACAGTGAAAAAACACCATATAAAATCATGTGTATATTCGTCTAGATAATATATACTAGTAGATAGCATGACGTCAAGTCAAATTGACAAACAACAGAGAAAACAAAGAGCACATGTTGCTCTCCGAAATAAAACATTAACAAACAAGAAGCCTCCCAACTGGAAAAAGATCTCACACAGATTCTGGAATACAGCGATTATAGATGAGCAATTGTTAAGGGATCTGATAACAACATGTACACCAAAGAGAAACGTTTATATGTTACCACCAACAAATGAACCTCTCCACAGGTATACATATACACACACGTACTTGCAATGATACAAAGTGCATGTCTATCAGCAACATATTATAATACCAAGGCAGTCCAGGCCCGTTCATGGGCGAGATGAAAAAGGGTCCCTCATTAAATCTTCAACATATTGTTTTTATCATCAGAATTAACGTTGTATTCAATAATTACTAATAATTCATATAAAATTGCTTTTCCCGAGTATTCCTACACGCAAAATCAATCAATAATTATTTCCAAACTAACATTATCTATCATACCATTTTTACGTAACATCATCAATCTGTTCCACCGTCAAAAACATCCTATGATATACCTTTAATATATAATTGACATCACTTGGGGTCACCATGTTGATTATTCAAAGTAACATTGTATGTAGATCAATATAAATAGTTGGGTTTCCATCTCACCTCATGTGAATGTTTTTCATCACCGTTTTAAACTATTATGGTTAAAACAAACTTTTTCAGAACGATCAATCTTAGAATCAAAAACCCATGTTCGTTATTGATTTGAGATCTTATTCTTGTTTTAGACATAGGAGAGTACTTAAGATTCATGCACTCAAGATAATGTAATAAGGAGTCAATGATGTATGAAAAACAAGGGTAGTTATGGAATCCTAAATATAGATACGAGCTGGATCCTCTCATATGGTTAATAATTTTTTTTCAAAAGTTAGGAGTTTCCTTAGTTAATGATAAGAAATCTATAATATTCTAATACAAAAATAGAATTCATGAAGATGGAATAATCATAAGAGTTATGAGATACGAATGATGGAGAATATATCAAGGTTTCCTAGGCAAGTAGTTTTAGACTTTGGTACTAGATCAAAAACCTAGAGAAACAATAAGCAATACTATAAAATAAACGACCAATTAACTTTTTAAATGTTTCTTCTCAAATGTGATTTTATAATACATGTTTGAGCCCGTAATGTAATACTAAATTATTTTTGGTTTCCTAATTGATACTAAATAAAGTTCTCTTTTTTTATCAAGAAAAAAAAGTTCTCTTTTTTTACCAAGAAAAAAAAGTTCTCTCTTTTACTTACTAATTTGTTGAACTACTACTATATATTAAGAAAATTGGGCCCCTATTTCTTGTGGGACTTGGAAGTGCATGCGGCCCACCCTCTCTCAGACGGCCCTGAGGCAGTCAGCACCAACTCCCTTCTTAAGAAAAAATGTTACCAAGAAAAAGAATGGAGTTGTTTGTCTGGAAAAAAGACTCAGATGCATCAAGAAATCTAATCACCATGTATATCAAGGAACAAAGAATCACGTTTACTTTGCAAGTCGAGCAACGACATGAACTCAATACCTATGTTGTTGATTGTGGCGCAATAGCGGCGAAATCTAGGATATCGGCCCTAAGCAAATTATTGGTGGTCAAATTGCGGTGAAAATAGCGGTAAGCAATTATCAGCGCAATTTACCACAATTTTGACCTATATTTAGGGTCAAATTGCATTCTACAATAGCTTTTTTTTTTTGGTTCTTTGGGCTTTATTTTGAGTCTTTGTTTTGGGCAGTTGGGCTTTTTAGATCTGGGATGTGTTTTAACTTTAATCCATTAACATGACAATTACTTTCTTTCTAATATCAACCCAAGTTGGGCTTTTAAGATCTGAACCTATTGCTTGCTATTAGCTCATTTATGAATGTTTTCCCTATTTTGTTTTGTGAAACTTGTTTAAGTTGATGGTTTGACGTTGAAACTATATTCTTAATTAATGCAAATGATATATTTATGTATGCATACATATATATATATATATATATAATTCTAAGAAATATTATATGAACCGCTACTTTTGGACCATTATACCACCGCTATAACCGCTATTTTAAATATTGATCCTGACCACAATTTTGTATTTTCACTGCTATAACAGCATAGCTCGATACTGATCATATATGCATTAGCAGTGTGGTCCGAAAGATCCATAAAGAACAAAAAGGTTGCAGTCTTATTTGCAGTCATTCACTTTCTTACATACTAAAATATTACCCACAAAAACGTTATAGTGAGATTGAGTTTAATGGGTAACCTCATTCTTGGCAGCAACATCTCTTACACCACCATTAACCGGCCTCAAAGCAAGCTCTAGGTAGTCACGAGGTGTTATTTTCCTATTGTCCTCAGCTAAATCCAAGTAAAAGTCCTGCAAATTGGAATGTTGTAATAATAAAATAACCACAAGAGCAGTTGCTGATTGTAAACAAACATGTGTAATATCAGCAACTCCTTAAGGTAAATAACATGAATATGTTTGTGACTCAACAGTCAAAAATGGTGCCACATGGATTTACCCTTAAAAGCCAGACAAAGATCGGGGAGAACTGTCCAAGCTCAGAAGCTGTAGTCTTGCCCCCAGAGGCTCTTACACGTATATGCTTAGTCATTTCAGTTACAAGAGAGAGGCGATCAAGTGCAGCCTCATCAATACCTCCCATCTGAAAAGAGAAGGAAAAACATTGACAACTAGATACCGAGGTAGCAACAGAAAGAATCAAAATAAAAATTAAGCATCAAGCATTAACCTGATTGTATATAAACATGCTCGATAAGAGGACAGCTAGGGAGAAAATTTGTGTGCTGTATGTCCCCTGTAGAATAACCCACAAAGAATAGGAATTTAACAAACATATTGCAAGAAAAATAAGCCAAAGAAACTAGATTTGTTATATTTGAACTGAAAAGGACGAACTAAATCTTTCAAAAGAAGTCAAGCCAACCGTTTGATCGTAAGCATCAATTCCTTCGCTATCTAATAGTAAAAGGTTGTATTCAGTTCCATCAAGAGCTGTTTTCTTTATAGGTGTACTCCACAACCAAAGTCCTTTTGTACATGGACGATGAGTTGATGCTACCTGAAATCCGTTACTCCTTCCAAGAAGCTACAACAAATAATAAACAAACTATTAGAAAAAAGACAATCAATAACCTATTCCACTTATCAAGAAGATGAAATACTAACAAAACATATGGTAATAGTATTAGAAAGAATATGTTTGCAGCCTTCACTTCACTCATGAATGGCGAGAATTACCTCAATAAAGTGTTACTTCTTAATCAATATATAAGAGGTTCTTGCCCTATTCCATAACTTTACCTCTACAACAAAAAACAATATTTCACAACACTCGGATTATGCATTTGGCCAAGGCATACACTGTGACACAGCAAGAGAGAAAAAAAAAGTCGCTTTTCACCTAGTCATGGAGAATGGTGCAACGAGGTAAACGTGTATGGGCATATGTGCCATTTTGCATTATTGGGCATTGTGGGTCAGGGTATGGCAATGCCATAGTGGCCCTCTTAAACCATTTGAGCTATTCCAATCATAGAGGTGTTGGCTTTTCAATTGGTCGTCTAGGAATTCACAGTAACCAAATAAACAGTTAAGAAAACAGAAAAGTTCAAGCTTTAGAACTTTGGATTCATCCACAAAATGCTCCAAAGAGATACGGGCCCCTCTTCTTTTCCTTGTTCCTACATCTTTTTTTCTCCTTCCTCAAACAAAATATCTTTAAGAAGTATGCAAAGTTTCATTATTCGTTTAAAAATCTCTTCAATAATATCCGAGATTCTATTTTTTCTTTCTTTACTCTGTCTGCTTCTCTTCCAGTTTGCAGCTTCCTGTTTTAGCCATGTTTCAGTCTCTGACGTCTTTGTTTTAGCTATGTTTCAGCTCAATGCTTCAGCCTTTGACATTGTTTCTTATGTACAGTTTTAACCTTTTAAGGTTGGAAAGATGATTCTTCTAGTAACTTAATCAATCTAAAGTGCATTACTATGGTTAAATGTCAATTAATTAAAATATTGGTTATGTGTGTATACTGTTTTTTTTTCTTATTAATTTATCAAATTAAATACGCCATGTCACTCTTTCCGTTTGAACCATGCTTGCCACCATGGCAGTTATGAGATTTTCTGCTTGTTACAGTCCAAATCCAATTAAAGACATTTAAGAACAGCACCTAACAGGAACCCATCTTCTGAACACACAGCCATATTTCTAAATAACAGGACCAACTTAAGTGACATTTGAGAAGTTGAAAATCTTTGTGGCTAACAATGCGTGATTGAGTGATTGTTACACAAAATGACGTTGTATCTAGACTGGGAATGTTTGAATTTAAAGCAACTATAGCAGTCTTATCTACTTCAAATAGTTTTAAATGTTTTATGGATTCTCTCTCCCCCACTTATGTAGCCTAGCTGGATACCCTTTTCATGCAACTAATGTCAATAGAAAAACTTTTTTGTTATATATCACAGGCATGCTTCAAAAGTCTAATCAGATACACCACTCTCTTGCTTATGATGATAAAATTATTAAGCATTTTCATCTCTTTTGCATTTATCTTCTACATCATCATGTAGTGTCGGAAGTTATACCTTTATACTTGTTCTTTGGCAATAATGAACTAAAACAAGTACATATAATTTAAGGGTTCATAATCTAATATTTTAAAGACAATCCTCTACCAGCATAATAATTGGGTATTTCTCATTAACCAGTTCCTTTCAAATGATATTTGATATGGTTTCCAAATGTTCTGCAATTACAAGATTGAAAATCGCCACAGCCACAGATTATTGCAATTCTTGTGAAATAAATATAATACGATAAATGTACCATCCTAGAATGGAAGCAGCCAAACTAGACCACCGGTAGTTGTTCCACGGTACAGATTCTACCTAAAACCCTAGCTTCAGAATGACTACTTATCGTGTCTACAAGGCCACGATAAATAATTCAGAAAATTTCCCTGACATTCTAAATTGGAGCAATCTATCGCATTGAACTTACATTAACCAATTTCATAAGCAACGTTTCCACCTAAAACCCTGGCTTCGAAGTTAATGACTAATCATATACTCGCAAGCAGTAAATTTACTAACCCTAAGTCTTTCCTGCAAAAAGAAAAGGTACCTGATTCAAGATGAAACTCTTGCCCTGGCGAGCGCGGCCGCAGACTGAGACCACGCCTACGGGTTCTTTAACTAGCTGAAGAACAGAGACGGCTTCCGGATCCATCTGGAATTTCCCTTTCTCGTCACAGTAAACAAGGCGGATAGGTCTGGCTGGGCCGGATGCTACGGCGGTGGATGAAGAAAAATTAGGGGCTGAAGAAGATGCTGTCGCCGTCGACTGCGGAGACGCGTCATCGGAAGAGCCTATGCCTAAAAATCTCATCGCCGTCGGTGGATCGTAGCAACGCCGATGAGTTGTGAGAGTGGGTTTTTTAGGACATTAAAGCATTCGAGGTTTTGAAACGGAAGGCGGTCGGAGGGAAAAGAGAATATAAAGGGTTTGTGGCCCGCACGCTTAATTACATCTTTATAACTTTATTTTTATTTTATTTTTTATTTTATTTTTTTATCAAGGGTCCCCTCCGATATAGCGGTTGTTTGGTAGCCGCTAATGGTTTAGTTATCAGAATCATTAAGTGGCTCTCATAATACAGTGTAAAATGAAATATAATTGTTTACAATGAAATTAGGGCGTTGGATAGTTAAGGAAGGCCATGATGCAAAATCATTCAGATAATTTTATAACCATTAAGAGACATTTTTTTACCAAACAAGATTCACATATTAACCATTTAGATGTTGCATCTTGATGGAACTATTAAGAGGTAAACAAACAACCACTTACTTAAAAGGTTCTTATCATGTTAACAAGTTAATTGTTTACCAAAAAAATCATCTTACCAAAAACTAGTGTTGACCGCCATTCATCATCTACTCCGCTTATCTCCCCTTTTATACCCTCAACCATTATCTCCCATATAATACCTCCATTGGGAAGCTATTTGTGTTTCTTGTTTTCAAGGGGGTGTTTGGTCCGCATAATGATTTATGAATGAATGGAATCTATCAAATGAATTAGAAACTGGAAGAAATGTTATCATGTTTGACCAGGAGGTGTCTGGTTGGTAAGAATGGAATGTAATATGTCTATTGGGTTGGAATCTGTCTGTTTGGTTTACAACGTAATTGGAATGAAATGATGAGAAATGACAAAAAATGCCCTTTTTTGAAGTAGAAATCGGAACATCACAACACCCCTTTTCCATCATCGCATCATCTTTTCCTTCTTCTTCCCTTTTATAACACAGTTTAGATCGTAACCCACATCTACATCACAGCATCCCCTTTTTCCATCATCGCATCATCTTTTCCGACGAACCAAACAACCCCTAAGTTTCTATCTCCCCTTGGAAAAATGGCTTGGAGTTTGGATTGTTCACAAATACCAAAAAGATATAAATATTGCTCCAATGTTACCTTTTTCTCTAAACTTTTTCTTCCTCTCTTTCTCTCTCACTATTGGCCCTTTTACTTTCTCAAGTACTTTTTTAAATATTTAGGGGACGTTTATTAAACGCTTATAGGTAAGTGCTTACCGGGTAATTTTTCATAGCGGATGAACATGACAAGGGTCAAAAAGCCTACACGATAAGAGCAATGATAAAGATGAAGGATCTTACTCGGTAAGTGAGGGTGACGACTCTTACCCGAGTAAGCTCTCACCGAGTAAATTGTTGCATACGATATCATTTTGAAGTACTACAATCTTACCCAATAAAATAAATTATAGTATTAACTACTAACAGTAAACACTTACCGGATAAGTATTTAGGTAAACGGCCCATAAGGGGTCGTTTACCAAATGTTTACTCGGGTTAGCGCTTACCAAGTCCCATTCTCTTACGTGAATATGGCAGTTACCAAAAATCTTACATGGTAAGAGCAAATGCACGGATCGTGAGTCTTACCGGGTAAGTGATGACGACGACTCTTACCACGATTATCGCTTGCTGGATAAATTGTTACATACAATGTTGTTTTGGTAGACAAAATCTTACCCGATAAGTAAGAGATATAGTTGAATTTTACCGTTAAACACTTACCGGGTAAGTGTTTAGATAAACGGCCCCTAGCTATACATGGAGTATATCAGTGACCAACAAATATCTTCTTATACAAGAGGTCATGAAACTTTGGCTCTAATGTGCATTATTTTCTCAACATACAAAAAATGTTATTAAACGTAAGTAAAAGCATGCAAACAGAAGAGGCATTTCGAACCACTTTTCATTCGCGCACAAACAATAATTTGCAAAGAACAAACGGTATTGTATGACATCTGAAGCATGGTTAATTCACTAGGATGTGTCTTGTGAGGTGCCGGTAAAAAGAGAAGATATAGACGTGGTTTGTGATATCACAGTGTAATATACCTTATTGGGATGAAAAGGCCTGTCGAAACGAGGCATAGGTGGAGCCTTCGGCACAAGCTCCTTCCCCGTCCTCCTTAATTATTCTTCTGCTAATACACAAGAAGAGCAAACGAAAATGACGGGATTTATAACTGAAAATGAAATGAAATATCAATATATTGAACAACAACGTTTTCTACTTACCCGTTCCAGTTCCTATACCATGAGCCTGCATTCAACACAATGGATCAAAACATTAGCAAAATCCGTGTTTAAACACGCATGGTATGTGCAATGTTAAGATAACTCATATCGTCGATTTATTTGATTCCTGTTTTGAGGGTTAGGGGCTGTTTAGCAGTTGCTGAATGGTTTTGTACAAAATCATTAAGGTGGTCAGAATGATTAAGAGACTTTCATGATATAGTGCAAAATGAAATATAATTGTTTACAATGAAATTAATGTTTTTAATGGTTAAGGGAGGCTCATGATACAAAATCATTCAAAGGGTTTTAGAACCATTAAGAGGTAGATTTTTTTTTTGCCAGACAAGATTCACCTCTTAACGATTCAGATATTGCATTTTAATGGAACTATTAAGAGGTAAACAAACAACCCCTTAAACATGAAAAGCATGCGGTCGCTATTTCATAAACTAGTATGCTTACAAGGGAAAAGAGTTTACTTGTTCATTTCTTATTATATTTGTATAAGTTATCTTATATTTTACAAGCGATGTTAGAAAAAATAATCAAATTATGCACCAGAAGATATAAGGAAATAATTTACGGTCACAAAAACCATATTTGAACCATAAACAACTTCTTAAACGGAGTGTCTGCTTTTTTTACCAGAGGTTGGAGGCTTCGATAACTAAATTTGTAGTGAACTGTATATTTCGTTGATCAAACACACGATTAATGCATTTTGTGTATGATATCCTTTTTTTTTTCTTCATAACACACGAACCAAAACTTTAATTTACTCGTTGTATTGTTTTTATGGAATTTTATAGATAAATCATACATTAAATATTATTGTAATAAAAACTATTGAATATTATTTTTTTAAATATAGAACAATTAAGAAAATTACGGAAAAGTAAATACACAATTTGTGACTCTTGAATCGAGGCAACACTTAAAGGGTTGTTTAAACAGTTGTTGAATTGTTTTGTGCAGAATGATTAAGAGTCACTGATGATATAGTGTAAAATGAAAGAATTTTTGTTGTAATTGTTTACAATGAAACTATGGCACTAAATGGTTAAGGAAGACTCATGATACAAAATCATTCAGAAAGTTTTAGAACCATTAAAAGTCATTTTTTTTTTGTCAAACAAGATCAACTTCTTAACAATTCAGATGATATCTCTTAATGAAATATTAAGAAGTAAACAAACAACCCCTTAAAAAATAAAGAATAATAAAAAACGAGCTCATTTAAATAGATTACACAACGGTTTAATTCAGTTTTATGGTCTCGTCATGAACCAAATACATATGTGGTTTTGTTTTAATTTGAAAAACACAACCCCCATGTCACACCCCGCCTAGGCGGAAACGTGAAGTGTGACGGAGAGGATTGTCATAACACAATGATATGATAATAGAGAACTCACTAAATGAATACTAATCCAAGTGTCATGACGTCTCTTCCTCGTCACAAGTGGAGACTTGTACTGTGGTTAGACAATTCCATGGCATCACATAGTCAACAAAATTTCAAACAGAAGTACTTAGCCACAAGCAAAAAAAAAACCACGCGCGGAATCTCTTAGGTCTCTCTAAGGTCCACAAGCAACCCTAGTACTCTTAGCCATTTTGATGAGTATTACCTGAAAATGAATACTCGAAAACGTCAACATAATGTTGGTGAGCTCGTAGGTTTAAATAACAAAAGAGGATTTGTTGTGTATCGTGAGCGTTTAGGACAACAGTGTGTATACATATATCGCAATTCAGCACTAATACATAGGAATAATTGTATAACCAATTTAAATCATACAACAAGAACATGATAGGTTTCCAAACATGTCATCTACCAGCTGGAGTTAAACCGTTGGCTTAATAGGAATATAGGAATCACATCTCATATAGGAATCAAACACTAGTACTTTCATTGTAATAGTAAACACACAAATTGTCCAAATAAATAAAAGAAAATGGTTCAACACAGCTTAAAAACAGTTAAATAGTTTTTGAGTATCTTTCCCCCCCCCAAAAGAAATATATAAGTAAAAGGGGCCACGAAACTCACCTGTGAGTAGATGGTATTAGGTATGCGAGAGGTCAAACAAATAATCTATAATTAAACAAGGGTGTGTGTGAGCTACACATGGCCATGGCTTAAAACCTTACCATTGTAATCTCGTAATCGATGGAATATACATGATCGGCCTGGTATTTCTAAAGGACAATTTTACCAAGCGTCGTAAAACTATAAGTCAATTAGTTGTGGTAGTCATCTCGACCTAAGTATCGATGGTTTGCCCAAGTTTTATAAGTTTGGTTTCTTAACCGAAATTTTAAGTTACTTCAAGAATTTTTCCTATACCTTAAATGAATTAGATAAGGTTCCAAAATTTAATGGTAGAGACTTCCGAGTCTTAGGTATTTTTCAGAAAATTTCCTTAATTTTAATTAATGTTTTACTAATTTTAAAAATAACATAAAAGTACAAGTCAGTAAATCGTTCTGTTTTGCGCAACAGAAAGTTATATACAAAATAAAATGCTTAAAGACCTCCAAAAATTCTGAAATTTTTACAGAGACTAATAGACATATTGAACTCAATCCAGAAAAGTTTTACCAAAGAATTTGAAAAAAAAAATGAGGGAGTTGTGAGGCACCCAAACGTCCTAGATTCTGTCCAAAAATTCCAGCTTTGCGACCCTGAACGGTAAAGGCTTTTTGACCAAGTTAATTTTGTTGTTTTGACACGAAACCACTTGGAACAGAAAGTAGACTCATTGAACTTGAACCTAAACTCAAAATTCGTATTTTAACTCCATGTTATGACTGAGATACGGTTTCTCCAAGTCAACACATTTTCTGCCCAGATTCTGGAATGCATCAAGCGACATTGTTTTTACTAAACAAGCACACCAATGACTCTATTATTAGCCAAGACTCATTAAAACTTATTCTTTTATAAAATATAAATGTTTTTAATCAAAAATATATTCCATCCATTAGAGTTACATTAACAATCGAATGAAAATCATAAAGACGATAGAAAGMCAAACAAGGTGAAGGTTTTTACCAACTCAACGATTTGTGATGAAGATATCACTTGTAGACTTCAAGTACCCTTCATGGATCATTAGAAAAAAAATAGAAGAAAATTAGATTTCTTATGGATTTAGAGAAGAACTTATAAAAGGAAAAAAAAACGTTGGACGCTTACCAAATGCTTCGTTTAGGAATCAAAGGAACTTGTTTCTTGCAAGTTTGAAGAACAAAACTTTGAATAACTTGATGGTGATGATGATTATTGACCAAGCAAAAGGGAAAAAAAAGATAGAATATTGTGTTTTGTTTTTCCCATGAATGAGAGTAATTAGGGTTTAAGAGGAGATAAAAAAGTATTGAAGATTATCAACAACTAACTACTATATTTAAATTTTAAAAAAAAGGAAAAAGAAAAAAAAGAAAAAAAGAAAAAAAAAATGGGATAAACTCCCTTATGTTTTCTTTCATGGATAATTATACATAAATATATTATTTAATTTATTTAAAACTACTTGATTTATTTCTTTATATAATAAGCTCCTTTGATAATATTAGTCTTTTTTTTTAGTTTTTTTTAAACAACCTAACTAGTTAACATTATTAACTCAATTCATTTACTTAAGGCTTTTAGTCACCGGTACAATGCACATAAAACATTTGTATAGACCAATTATGTACTCGGGAAAAGAAATTCAACTTAGGAATTATGAACACTTAGCTTTCCTCTACTATTAGAATGACTAGAATACTCAAGGGGAAAAAAAAACCCACCCAACTCCTAAAATTTCACACCTTATGTTTCAGGAAGCATGTGAGCACATAAATTTACTAAAAGGGCTAACGTTAGGTTTCGAGTTACGGTTGACTAACCTGGTTTGGTGACGGATGTCACACCCCATATTGTGCTTATGAATATATGATAATACACAAGTAATTAATAGATCATAAATCACTCAGGGTCTAATTTTGGTAGGTTTATCGACCATAAATAGACGTTATCTGTCGTTTAAATTACATATTTCGTAAAATTGCTTGCTTGTTTAAAAATTAACACATGGTTTTAAGTATGTTAGTTTAAATCAAAATAAGATTTGTAGCGATGCACCGTTTGTGGATTGGAAGTTTGGTCTTCTAGGGCCTAATTTGGTCAACCAAAAAGAACTGCTGATCTTGTTCTTTAAATAAAAAATTGTGAACGATTTAGGATTAAGAGTAATTGAGTTATTTGGGCCCCCGCGGGGGGGGGGGGGGGGGGGATTGACTGCATGAAATGTTACTTTTCCAATACGATATATTCACCCTAGTCACAATGGACGTATTTTGACTGTCCTAACTATGGCGGAACATTTCCGAGATGTAAATGAACACTTATTAAACATTGAGGTCTTTAGTACCTTTTATTTTTTATGTAAAAGAGGCTCATCATTGCCCTATCGGAACAGACGTTCAAATACAAAGATCGACAAAAAAGAACCAGATCATTCAGTCTCAGACCATGCTATGACATCGTTAAGCCAAGTTACTTGGCCTGATAAGACGATTAATCCTCTATTTTGAGACGGACCGGTTCTAGAATTTATCTGGTTTGTCGGTTTTTTACTCTGTCAGACTAAGGATTAATCCTAACCGAACCATTTTTAGACCGGGTTACCTAAAAGGTTAACCGGAACATATTTCGGTCCGTACCATCTCTATTTAGAAGCTCTAAAACTATGCCATGCTGTGGTTGGAAAATAGAACCCATGCGGACCGAATAGGGTTTGGTTATCGATTTTTGGTCTCCCTGTTCACCCCCTTAATCGGATTTGAATTATTTAAGCCCTAACAACCAATTTTCAGTCTATTGGACGAACTTCAAGCAGACGGAACAACAAAAGACATTATACTTTGCAGAGTTCTACGCCATCCGTCCGTTGCTTCGGTCTCATATTCTCAAGCAGCTTTTGATTTACAGTGGAATTGGTGTTTACCAAGAAAAAGATCAGTTCCGCGCCAGGTAACCCACTTGATCGAAGTTCTATTTTTGTTCTTTATGCGTTTTTACGTATGATTCTGTTACTAATTTATGTTTTCTTCGTTAATATGATGTGGGTTTTCGTTACATTTGATGTTTGTATTAGGGTTTTAGAAGGGTGTTAGTAGGTGCCATCTCAACCTACACGGGATCGGTGAGAGTTGGGAGCTTCGTGACAGGAGTGCGCCTGTAATCGTTTATCTTCCAGGTCTTCACCGTATTATTCTCCGTCACATTCCAGGATTACCCTTCATTGTCTCTCGATTCACATTTGCTACTCGTCGGGTATCTTGATTCAGGTCTACTGCTCGCCTCCTCGTCTCGTATCACCCTCTGTTGTTCTGTGACCAAACTCGAAATATGTATCCTTGTCTATCCATGAAAAAAATCCGTTTCTATTTCTGAACCTCGTTGCTACAAGTTGATTGGGGTCTACGACATGTTTAGTATTGCATTCCTCCTTGTTATGCATTGTTGTTTTTTTGATATCTGGTTACAAATGTTACTACAACTCTTAAGAACCTTATTAATTTCTTTTTCGTTGCTCTTCATATGTTCTACGTTGCTGTTGTTTTGATACCTGCTTATTGTAGAGTATATTACATAGCTTCTGCATTATTTCATGACAGTCAATACTCCCAATAAGCATGATATTTGGATCAGTGCTTTTGTAAAGTCTTGTATAATGTAAATGATTGATTAGAATAAGAATTTTATATGCATATTTGTTTGATAAAATTCATCAATGAAGAACACATGCTCGTTTTGAAGTAGAATGTATGGTGGAAGCCTGATTATTGTTGCTATCTTGGTTGCTGAATATTTCTTTGTTAGTTCTCTTCACTTCCTGTTGCCATCTTTGTTCTCTTCACTTATTTGTTGCCATGCCATTGTGTAAATTATCTCATCTTTGGATAGTTATTTTAGCAACTAAGCAAACTTGGACAACACCAAGTGAGCTGCTGAACAGCAGTTAAAAAATTGTGTCCTCTATGCATGAGCTAGTTGTAAGGTACAGTCAATTGGGTGTTGAACATTTGCGATTCTAAAGTTGCTATGTCTCAATTAGTTCAAAAATGTGAGTTGGGTTTCTGGTGTTTTACATTACAGTGGAATATCAAGGTGGGTTTGTGTTAATTTTTCAATAGTAAAACAAATTATGATTCTTAATATTAGGAGATACATTTCTAATTAAAAACGCCAATTTCTTAATCAATCGGTCTAGAACCTACGCTTGTAATCAATATTCACAGTTTTGATGTAGAATTCGTGTGCAAATATAAGCAACAAACACCAATTCACATTTATGATCATGTTGCCATCCAGCTCGTTGAATATGCACTTACAGAGCATACTGAAACAGATTCCCATTTATTTGAGAAAAGATTCAAAAAGGAAAAATATTGCTACTCTTCCAAGAACTCAGCTTTCACACATTCTGGCCAAGGTATTGCCAAAAAGATTTGTAATCTTTGTTTGTCCAAGATGAACACTTGTAACGTACACAAACCATCATCCTTTTTTCCCCCCGGTGGAACAGATAGTGAAGTTGGTACTGTTAATTATAATGCGTTGTGAAGTTAACTTAAGCAATTCCGGTTCGTAGATTTTCAGGAAGTTAACTGTAGTTCAATTTGATTGTAGTTGTTGAGTGGTTTTCTGTAGTTACCTTATAAATGCCTAAAAACCTTCCCCTTCATCATTGGTGGCAGCCTAGAAAGCTTATTTCTCTTTTGCCATTGCTGATTCTTCACACCAGTTTGCATGCTACTCCACACCACATCACCTAAGCTTCTGTTGATTGCTGCTAAACCTGCAGACAAGTGTGTGCTTCCTCTGTCAGTGATGCACTGGATATGGTTTTGATGCATAGAGGATGGATTTTTGAACACTAAATAGTAAAGGAGAAAATTTAATAGTTAATTTCACTGGTTTTTAGAAGTAACAAACAAGAAATTCTTATAGAATGTACAATTACTTGAAGATATATCACACAAAGAAGAAGTCAAGGGAGGTAAGGGAGAATACATGGATGGAATGCAGTGGGGTTTTCAAGGCAGTTAATACAGGCTAATTCATGTGATTAGATTGTGTAATTGATTATTATTATTTTATGGATCAAACAAATAAATTGTACGAGAACTATTATGTTGAATTTGATTGTTATATTTTTTTTAATCTAGAACGTGAACAACTAATGTTTTGTTTGTTTGTATTGATATAATATGGTGTTGTTTTGAACGAGTAATGTCGTGTTTGTAATCTATATTTGCAATTTCATATATGGTAATTTATATATTGTTTTGTAATTTATATATGCAAAGTGTTATATATATATATATACATACAAGGTTATTTATTCATTCACAGCACTTTTCAAACAGTCATACATGATTTAACACTAAATCATACAAAGGGTTAAAATGGTAATTTTTTATCATCCAGACTGTCCATTCAGAACATTTAGCAAACAATCAATTTCGTTTTGCACCAAGAAGCCTCTTAATAAATCTGACTTCTAAATCATTCTGCCAAATCATTCTGCATCTACCAACTACCAACTAACACCTAACATTCTTTTACTTTCAGTGTCTCCCTTTATTGAGAAGATCATATTCTGGAGACCGAGAAAGAGAGGAGACTGGAAAATGGTAAGTCAGGAGCTATGATTAGTTGTTTTACTGCAAACATATGTGTGTTTCACCTGCTTAATAAATGTAGATTACTACTTCGAAAGATTTGCCCAACTTCTTTTTATGTTCATATACAAGTTTTCATCCTGAATCTGCATATTTTTTGTCCTAAGATTGACTGCTACATAAAACATTTTCTAGAAACACCACAAATTGATAATGATGCTTGGATATTGGTAATAGAAGTCGCACTGATTATGCATTCAAGTTACTAGGTTTGAGTTCCAAGTAAAAAGTGTGCTTGGATATTACTAGAAACATCACATACTTTTGCAAATTTGGTTTATCTGCTGTTATATTTGCTCATTATTTGGAGAACATAACTCTCCTTTGACTTGAAAGTTAAATTCCTACAGCAGCCGGATATTAGAAAATGGTTCATGAAGCAACACGACAAAGGAAATGATAACGGCAACACATCAAAACCTGCAAAACCCACACTCACGATACCGGGAAAGTTGTCAACTGCTAAGGATGTCTCACCGTCATCCCCTGTGAAATCAGTAAGTACAGAAAAAGTTGATTGTTAGAGAAACATGCATAGAGTAATTGTACTATTCTTGTTTCTCTTCTTTCGTTACATTCAAATCAAAATAACCTCACTTAATAAGCAATTATTTTTTATTTGGATGTGTTTTTAAAGAAAATTGTGTTTTCCTGTTCTTCTAATACATGGCTGTTTTTTCTATGTTATGCAACGGACAAGTAATGAAAAAATGTACTGAAGTTAGGTGAATGCAGAGTTGCCTGTATTTGTTCAATTACGTTCTTTCTATCTGAGTAGCTGGAGGTTGGGTGTTTAAATACAATGTTTTCAATGCTTGTCGTCATTCTTTTGTGTAGAGAAAAAATAATCGAGGACTAATAACACCTGAAGGTTTGATTCTGGTTAGTTTGACGTCTCATAGAATTTTAAGCTCAAACATAGGACTCCTAAACGAGTCAATTATCTATTAGAGCCTTAGAGGAACACATGATACATCATAGAGGGAATCAGAAGACCAAAAAAAACAAGCTTTGTTTTGTTCTTTTACTATTGTCAGGGCTTTTCAAATGAGACATGTTTGTTGAAAATCTATAATGATGAGTTTGATGTCTGTTTGTGACTTCCAGGTACAAGGAGGTCAAGAAAGTTCAGGGAGACGGAAAACTAGTAAATATTTTGCCACTGACAAACAAAATCAAGAAGATGCAACAGAAGTATCTGGACTCGCAGCAAAAAGAAAGGTAGAAAGGAGCCGTGAGCAGTCGTCTCCTGATGTAAAACCTCCGCCTGGAAAGAAGCTGCACACAGTGGACGACAATGATAAAGATGATGACTTTGTATTACCCAAAACTGGGAAAAACTCGGTTGAAGTGACTCCTAGTAAGAAACTGAAGAGTGGTTCGGGTAAAGGAATTCCCCATGGGAGTGTGAATGAAAGTACTGATGCTGATGACAGTCCAAAAAATCCTAAATCTGCTGGAAGAGGTCGTGGTAGAAGGGGTGGGTCAGTTGTCGGAAAAGGTACCAAGTTAGACATTGATGAGGACAATGCTGAAGATGAGGATACTAAAGAGGTTAAGTCTGGTGGTCGTGGCCGTGGTCGTGGTGGAAGGGGTGGTTCAGCAGTGGCAGGCAGTGGAAGAGGTGGTGGACGGGGTGGATTCATGGCTTTTGGTGAAAGAAAAGATCCTCCTCACAAAGGAGAAAAGGTTTAGGACTATTTATAGATTGCCTGAACTGTAAGATTACCAATCCAAGTGCTAACATCTTATTTTGCTGACAGGAAGTTCCTGAAGGCTCTCCTGATTGTCTAGCTGGTTTGACATTTGTCATCAGTGGAACACTTGACAGGTATGTTATGAATGGCCCAAAACATATCCTAGTCTTGGGTGCAAAAGATTGCATCCTGGATAGAAGCTGTTGAAACGTATAATTTTGACCTACATCACATAGTAAAATCTGACATTACTTTTTGCAAGGATATTGCTGGCTACAACAATACTAGTTCTTTTAGATAAGTTCCATATTACCTAGCTGTGTCTAATAATAATATATTTTGTAATATAATGCTTCTAGTTTGGAAAGAGAAGAAGCTGAAGATTTGATTAAACGATATGGCGGGCGTGTTACTGGATCTGTGAGCAAGAAAACAGTTAATTTCCTAATGCTCTGTTTTTGCTTGGTTGCAATTTTTCCCATGGTTGTGTGGTTGACATTGTTTCTTTTCTTTTTCTTTCTTTATGAAAGAATTATCTCTTATGCGATGAAGATATTGGGGGAAGGAAATCAGAAAAAGCAAAAGAGCTGGGGTTTGTTACCTTGCATCAATATCTGTTTTGCCTTGGTTTGTCTTCTATTCTCAGTTTGTGACTATGTTTAATTGTTATGAAGTACGGGCTTTCTTACTGAGGATGGGCTGTTTGACATGATTCGTGCATCAAACCGTTCAAAAGCCACCACCAAAGACAATACCAAGAAACAAGTGGACACGATAGCTACTTCTTTGCCAAAGGCGAGTCCTCAAATAGCTACTTCTCTGCCAAAGGAGAGTCCTCAGAAAGGAGTAAAGAAGAGTATGCTCAGATAACTCTCTTTCAGTCTTATCTTGTGTTGTATTTTTTCTGCAGTTTTTGTTAAATTTTATTTCTTATGTTAAGTTGCTTTCTTTTTCTGCTTGCTTGTCATTACTTCCAGCTATAGCCAGGTCATCACATGATGACAGTTTTATGAGTTTCGTGCTAATTTTTACACGCATCCATGGTCTAACATTGTTTACTGATAAATATATATCTAAAATTCAGTTAAATTCTTGGTGTATAGTATGTTATAATGTTGGGAATGAATGATATACATATAGAATACCTTTACATGATTGGTAATAACACTGCAGAAGATAATAAAATTCAACTTGGCAATAAATTATACGAGAATATTGCGTACTGGTCTGATAATCCATTGTTATTGCAACACAGTGATATAAGAATATATAATGCTGCAATCAACTACTTGTCTACTCCCTCCATTCCCACAATAAGTGTCCACATTTCTATTTTACTTGGTCCCAAAATAAGTATCCACTTTCAAAAGTGTCTATTTTCTCATTCTACCCTTAATTATGAGATCGAGAAAATTTCTCTCTATTATTAAGGATAAATTGTCCTTTAGTTAATAAAAAGTGTAATAATTACAAATGTCCAAAACTAGGTGCATTTTTCATTGTGGACATTTATTTTGGGACAAAGGGGGTGTTTTTTATTTGTTCATTTTTTTTTAAATTTTGTTGTTTCTTTACATTGCAAATGTACTATATCATAGAACATATGGTAGGAGAAGTATGCATGTATGATCGTTGGTCGTTCTTATTAATTTGTTTGTAAGTTTGCAACTTGATAGTTGGCAGTTGATTGCGGCCTGAGATGTAGAATTCAACTGGATGCAACTTGGTTGTTCTCAGTATGTGGTCATCTGTTGTTTATGCTGACACTCTTCTGTCCTACTTTCTTTCTTTATTTTTTGCCTTTTCCCATCTAATACTGGATAGTTTATTTCAACTTGTGATGCAATTGCATCACTCTCCATACTGATCTTTGGATCATGCTGAACCGTCTATGTTTTTGATCAGTTTATAGGGACCTTCTAATGATTATTTGATTCCCTCTTCTCTTTCTGCATGTCCTCCGTTCAAAACTTTAGCAATACCAATCTCATCATGTAGTGCTATCCTTATACATCTAACATTTTTTTGGCAATTTTCTTTAGAGGATGAAGTTCATGAATCTCCGGAGAAGGGTAGAGCTACCAGGAATGCTAGTTCAGGCATCTCTCCTGCTAAGCGGAAGAAACAAACCGTGGGGAATTCTTCACTGCCATGGACTGAGAAGTACAAACCAAAGGTTCCAAATGACATCATAGGAAATCAGTCACTGGTATTCTGTCTTCTTTAAGCTTTTGTTAGAGTCTGTTTGATTCATGTAATCTTGTTACTTGCTATCGCTAAAGTAATGTTACTAAGATACAATTTTGAAAATATGTCAGGTCAAGCAGCTTCATGATTGGCTGACACATTGGAATGAAAATTTTCTGGGTGGTGTCAGCAAGGGGAAGGGAAAAAAACAGAGTGATATGGGGACAAAGAAAGCAATATTGTTAAGTGGTACACCTGGTATAGGGAAGACTACATCTGCAAAATTGGTTAGTCAGATGCTTGGTTTCCAGACCATTGAGGTGTGTTAGTATTGGGAAATTCCCTTTTTGGTATGATTTTTATGTGTCACATTTATGTTGATAGTTTATTTTGTTTCAAAATGTTTTTCTAGGTTAATGCTAGTGACAGTCGTGGAAAGGCTGATGCCAAAATTGAAAAGGGAATTGGTAGTAGCACTGCTAACTCTGTTAAAGAACTTGTCAGTAATCAATCCTTGAGTGTTGGCATGGACCGGTGGGTACCTCTTCTTATTGCAACAATGTATGAAGATTTAAGTACCTTGCATATGCATTTACTTTAGGCAATTATCAACTAATGGTGCAGCTCGAAGCATCCAAAGGCGGTGCTGATTATGGATGAGGTTGATGGTATGTCTGCTGGAGACAGGGGTGGTGTGGCGGATTTAATTTCTAGCATCAAGATATCCAAAATTCCTATAATTTGCATATGCAATGATCGATACAGTCAGAAGTTAAAGAGTCTTGTGAATTACTGCTTACTTCTTAGCTTCCGCAAACCAACAAAGCAACAGGTTTTATGCATTTTCTTTTTATTTTGAAGGAACTCTTACTTTTACCAAATGTATATTTCTCATATCCTACTGTATACTTCTCCTGACAGCTGTCAGTCTGTCACTGTCGTGGTGGGTATTTGTTATCTTATTGTTATTGCATTAGGGATTATATGTGACACCGTCATTTGAATAGGTGAGTGTACTATGCTTTACGAATTATAAACATTATTTTCTTGCTGTGTGATTGGTGTACACAGAGTGGGGGTTGATGCAATTGTAGGTTATCTGAAAATTGGAGATCAAAATTGCTATTGTTGTAGAGACTGAACATGAGTTGGATTTGCTTAGGTATTGGAGGTATGAGTTAAAGGACACTGAGTAACATCTGCTGGTAGAAAGGTTTGCTTTTATATTTTGAAGACTTGGAGTTCATGACAACTCATCATGCCAAGATGTGCTAGACCCTTCATTTTTTCTGTAGACCAAAGGTTTACTAAGTCTATGATATGAACTTGTCTAGAAGACCACTCTGCTGTTCCTTTTTTAGCTTTTCAAGATCTTGTTCTTTCAAAAACTTTTTCAAGCTGGGGCTTTTCATGGGAATAACTTCTCTAAACCCTTAAGGTTTATTTAGTAAAGGCAGCCCATCAATGTTATTGCTAACTTGTATAGTTCATGTTCTTCGGCTCTATCCATGAATTAGATTACTTCTACAGCACGTCCTCGTATAATGCTTAAGGCTATCTGTTGAAAGGTGTCCCACCCCCTGACCCCCTCAAGGGTGACAGACGTTAAGAAATGTTCTTGAGATTCTCAATCCCAACCCATTGGATAGAGGTAAGGTCTGCGTACATCCTATCTCAGACCCTACTTCTGAGTATGCTTGGGTTTTTATTTATTCTTGCTCAGTTGCATGGATGCTGAGAGGGTGCTACTTTTCCCCTGTGTTGATCAATAGTTGACCCTCAAACCAAATTCTTCATGGGTATGATTTAGTGCCAGTTCTTTTGAATTGTCTGGTAAATAAGTTACACCGGTTAATAATCGGACATTTTTTTTTGTCCCTATTGGCTATAAGGTGTAGGGAATGCTTGTAGCCATGGTTTCTGTACGGTTGATACTTGACACCAAATTCAGGATAGAAAATAGTGTTTTGTTGCTCCATCAGGATAATTTCTTTGTACTCCTTTTTACTGTTATTAATAATCTGTTTTCTGAGCAACGATTTGTTGTGATCATGGTAGGTGCTAATGTTGTTTGTTATTTATACTTTCACATCAACTTTTTGTTCGAAATCATTTTTATGGTACATTCGTCGAAGTACCTTTAGCATGGTGTGTTCTTGCATTATGAAAAAATTGTGCGGATATATTACCTTTAGAAGGGGTTCAAGGTTCAGTTTGCATGTTTAAACAGTTACCTGAAGTGAATACTGTCTATAAATTAGCGATAACTATAATAGAAAAAAAAATATGCAGCTGTTAGACAGCTTATTTTGTGTTGTATCATAAATGAATTTTGGAAGCACTACTCTCCTTACCTGCTTTACCAATTAAAGATCTAAAGCATTAAGTAATAATCATAGTTGATTTTGGTGATTGCAGATGGCAAAGAGGTTGTTACAAATTGCAAATGGAGAAGGCCTTCAAGTAAATGAGGTACACATTTTGCATATATGTTGTGTATAATCCAGTCTTTAGCTCGTCACGGCAACCTAACTGCTTCATGGTTACCTGAATGATTCAGTAATCATAAATCACTAACAATGATGTCTCTCTCTTTCTTTGACACAGAGAGAGAAAGACACTTGCACAAAGCAATAACCAATTGTACTGGGATTCATATATGTCTTCAATCCTGCATCGATTAAACAACTTACTGTTAGTTAAACTTCATAGAGGTACCTATTTGGGTTCATCTAGGAGTTTTCATGTATGTTTTTATTCGTTTGGTATTTTGTTTACTTTTTTGTTTTTGTTTTTTAAGAAGAAACCATTAGGGTCAGAACAAAATGCAATGGGACAAGTTTCTATACAGATGTTGGAAAAGAATCCAGATAAAAAAACAGAACAAGAAAACCTCATGGCCATGATAATTTGGTAGGCTGAAATTGAAACTGATAACAGATGTGAAACTAGGTGAAAAGTCAAGCTCAAAGAAGTATTGTTCCATGTTACCCTTATATCCTTTAAACAGGCAATTCTTTTTAACTTCTATTTCAGTATCTTCATTGCCACCTCTACGTTGTCCCATGGATCCCCATATCCAACCCAGTCTGTTCTTGTGTGGTTGCACATCTTCCTTGAACTCACAACACTAAGCTTGTGTGCATGTTGTCTCTCGATGACCCAACTCAAAGAAGGCTTTCTGGTCTTTCTCCAAAACTTGGCCTAAAATGTATTTGTTTTTTTTGAAATATATAATATTTATATACAACTGATACTCACGAAAACTCCTCACTTTTGGCGAGGTTTGAACCCTTGACCTCTGGGGAGGTTGGGCTCTACCGGTGACCCGGGTACCGCTGGGCCAACCGCCAATGACCCTTCGGTTTCTTGGCCCTGAATGTTAAGTGTGATATTTGGGCCACATAGGATTCTTGAAGCTTAACGGCTAACACTGCTTCATCCACCCATATTGTATACTATTACTAATGTCTTGCACAAGGACTAGTAGATATTGAGAATTAAGCAATGAGGGGAACATTGTAGGCAGCTCTTAAGAAACCAGATGCATAACATAGAACTTCCTGATCAACCCATCTTATATCGGAGATTGCCAACTGCCAAGTGCCCAAGCTTCTTATAATGATGGCCACAAGGGAGCCAAAACCAGCATCACCATGTTTGAACCTGATTACATATCATTTTGTTTGTACCCTATAAGGATCCGTTTCCAAACCATCGCAGAAACAAGTGACTACAACAATGAAATCATAATTGAAGATAGTATCAAACTTGCACATTATTATCATCAGATCTGTGCATGAAGAAGATAGATGTGGATGTTGTTTATACAGACTGTTTGACAGTTGGCCGGTGGTCAAAAGCATTTCACATATACAATATCATTCATACATGTGGGGCAAGCAAACCTGCTTTTGCATATTATCTCCTTTTTACCCTATTTAATACAATATCATTCATACATGTGGTTCTCCAACAATTCAACAACACAAACAAAATCTTCCTCAGTTCGTTGATCTTTAATTCAGTTCGATTTAAACGGAAAGGAATCATTCTCATCAGGAGCCCTTCTAAAGTTTCTCTAACTAGTCTGACAACATTTTTTGTTGGCTGGGTGCACTCTGAAGATTCATCACGGACCCCAAGCTAGCCATTCAACATACACCAAAATTTTAAAGTATATGGTCGAGGGGAATGAAATGGGTTTATGAAGCCGGCTAATGTGATTTAAGCATTTGATAGAAATAAGCACATAGTTTGTAGTTCAATTAACAATTTCTTCCATGCTTAGAGCTTGCTGACCAGACAAGGGCAAGTGTGCTGGCGGATTATTCTCTATTCCATGACTTCCTAGTGAAATCCCTTATAAGATGCGGCTAAAAAGAATGGAAGGATACTAGAATAGTATCAATTAACAAATTCTGTAGCTTCCTGGCAGAAACGAAGAACTGCTGAAGGCATCCCGATCATAGTTTGCCACCTTCTTTACTTGGAATTGGTGTCTGCCATCAATAATGTTAACTTGGAAGTTCTTTGGAGATGTTATCTTACATAACTAAACATAAATCCTGTATTGGAAGCTTCGTTTTATGGCTGATACCAGCCTACTGGGTTCCTAGGAGAATTGGTGTACCAGTTGTTTTTTTTCTTCTTTCTGCCACTAATAAATTTCTTGAGTGTCAACTTTCCCCCTTCACTTAACCTGCATTAGGCCATAAGTTATTAAAATAGTCTCTTTCAGTTCTTATACTTGCTGTGAATTATGAGTTAAGGTTATTAGCTTTAATTTCTTCTTTTTATAGGTTGCGCTTGAGGAACTTGCCGAAAGAGTTAATGGAGATATGCGTATGGCTCTGAACCAGTTGCAATATATGAGTCTCTCCATGTCCGTCATTAAGTATGACGATATAAGACAACGACTTCTTAGTAGCTCCAAGGATGAGGATATATCTCCCTTTACAGCTGTTGATAAGTATGAACCAATAACACGCCCATATAAGTTTTTGTACTTCTGCTATTTGTCAATATTCATTATCATCATATATCAAGTAGCGTATAATATCATCTGACTTTAGAGAGCTGTTTTCCAGGTTATCAGTGTGCTTTAGTTTCATTTTTCAGAAAAGGCCAGAGAGAGAGTGAGAGAGGGGGGGGGAGATGGAGACATGAGGAACGGAAAATGAAGTCATAACATGAACATGGACAAACATTAATGCAATATCTCAATGGATATGGTTTCTGAAGCTGCCTTTAGCAATGTTGACCTGTGGTGGTTTTGGATTAAAGAGCGAGATGCTCATGTCCTAGATCTTCAAGAACCATCAGAGTTCATATGATGATATTTAATAACTTTTTCCTGAATTTTCTTTATGGTAATAGAAAATGCTACAAACCCCTTAACCTTAAGTAGTGACACTTAAAAGATTTATGACTTTTTTAGAGCAAACTACTGTTTTCGTCTCTGTGCTTTGTTGCTTATAACTAGTTTCGTCCTTGGTCTTTAAAAATTGCTTTCTTCGTCACCATGGTTTCTATTTTGTTGCTCTTTTTGTTCCTTTGTCTAACCCCCTTTAGAATTGTTTGTTAAGTCGGGGGTAATTTGTTATTTTTGTTATTGTTTATATTTTTGTTATTTTTATTAACTAATAATAATATATAATATTATATATATAATTTATATTTATATTAGAAACCCCCTAGAGAACCGTGTCCATCCCTTTCCCTTCCTCTCCGTTGACCCTTGACGCCCCTTTTTTTCTCGTCGACCACCCCTGCGTTTCTTTCTCCTTCTCTTGCCAATGATCAGCCCTCGCCACCCCGTGACTATCACCAATCGCCAGCCCTCCCTGCAAATTTCAGGTTTGAGCTTTAGAGTTCTTCATCTCGTTTTCTCCTTGCTGTTAATCTTGTGTTTGTCTGCTGCTCAAACTCAATTGTATTTTGTTGGTTGTTTTCAGAGAAAAAGGGCTTTAATGGATCCCACACTTAAACTCGTGTATTTTGTTGGTTGTTTTTAGAGAAAAAGGCTGTAATGGATCCCACACTTAAACTTATGTATTTTGTTGATCTCGTACACCTGACCGGTGCTGTAATGCCCTAATGTGTGGGTTGAAAGTTCTTTATTTTTTGGGTCTGAATGTTTCTTAGTTTCTAGGTTGAATGTTCTTTGTTTGCGTTTTGTTTAGTCCTTGGTTTCACCGATTCAAGTAGAAAAGCCCACTGTGTTCTGATGTTCAATATGGGGTCGCAGGAGAAAGATGAAAAGGGTCCCAGGAACAATTTGGCCGGAGATGAGGCCACTGTTGGGGGAGGTGTGGGGGTGGGTTTACTTTGTAGAATAAGAAATGCAGAATGTTAATGTTGGATGAGTTTTAATCTTTTAATAGAAAATCATATCAAAAGGTATCAAGACAAAAATGCCTTTGATTTAGCTGATTTTTTTTGACGGAGTTAGTGCCAGGATGAAAATCGAAATGAAAGGAAAACCCTAGTGACGAAAGTAGTTATAACAACAAACCACAGGGACGGTTGGTACAAGTGGCTAATGCACGAGTACCAGTGGCAATGCAGGGATTTGTAAATCGGTGAGTGGCTTCAGTTAGTATAAATAAGGGGGAAAAGGTGAGAAGGAAGCATCGTTTAGAACTAATGTATTAACTGGTTGGGTTCCCTTATCATTATTGTGAGTAGCATAAGAAGAGATCTCCACCCATGGATCAATCCTAATTGAATGTCAACATTAATGAGGTGTACCGAGATGCACCGGATCAATTCCTTCTAAAACGTAATTCATGGGTGGGCATGAGATTAAAAGAGATCAAGGGTTCAGATCTCTTCTTATGCTTCTCACCATAACTTCCCTTCTCACACTATTCTTCGCCATGTAGTGACACTTAATATTTATGGTCGGTAAGAAAGGACGTTCATGAGTGGCTTAGTTCCTAATGTGTGGGATTGTATTTCATTATGGAATATAAAAAAATTCCATGTTCATCATAGTTTATGAGTATCACTTGTAAGCTCCACGGCTTCTTCCTAAGTACTCTAGGAATATAAAATTTTTCCGTGTTCATCATGTTACAGCTCAATGCTTAACCTTCAAATATTTTTGGCTGCCAGTACATCATTTTCTCCATAAATTGTAATTTATGCTAACTCTCCTTTTTTTGTGCAGGTTGTTTGGTTATAATGCTGCTAAACTGCGAATGGATGAGCGGTTTGATCTGAGCATGAGTGATCCGGATTTAGTACCTCTTATTATACAGGTACCTATCTTTGTTATTGTTGAATATTTACAATGTAATATCGTATTCTAGGCAGAATTGGCCAAGATAACTATTAAATCTTATCACCCCTCCACTGCGAGATTTGAATATTGTGTGCTTGCTTAAGAGGACAATAGTTCTAAACTTATACCTTGAGCTGGAAGCTAATGGCAAGAGGTGTATATTTAGCATCTTATGTAAATGACACCATTCTTCACATTCACCTTGCCATAGTCTTTTAATTGTAATTCATATTAAATATCATTATCTAAAATTTTGTAAAGAGTAAGCCTTGACCCGAGTTCCTTTGAATGAGTTATGGCGCCTTGAACTGTTTCAATGGCATGTTTAATTGATGTTTGACTAATATGTCGAAAGTTGTAATAACTGCATCGGCCACGATCATTGTATCGTCATATATCTTCCGCACTTTGTTGTTTATGTTTGTTGGATTTCTGCAGGAAAACTATATGAATTACAGGCCAAGTGCGGTTGGCAAAGATGAACACGGAATCAAGAGGATGAGCTTGATTGCTCGTGCTGCCGATTCTATTGCGAGTGGGGATATAATCAATGTACAAATACGAAGATATCGACAGTGGCAGCTCTCTCAAAGTAGTTCTCTTACGTCTTCTATAATTCCGTAAGTTTTACAGCGTTTGTTGGAGATACCTTCTGGATATGGGGCTAACTTTCCTGTAGACAGTGATAGTTTTTAATTCTGTTTGTTAATTGAAAAGGGCTGCTCTTCTGCGTGGACAAAGGGAAACACTTGAACCGGTAAGGGCTAATATGATTTGCTGGTACTTGAAAGTTCTGTTTCTTATATTATTTGCATTCCCACTAAAAAGAAAATAGAAATGTGAACTTATGCCTAATATTTTTGTGATACCTGACATTGGTAATGTGTGAGTTTATATTTCTATTGTTTTAATTAATGAGTTTTGTCCTTGAATGGCTTTGGTATGTGTGGATATAACTATATATATATATATATAGGGTCAGGGGAAAACCGTAAAAAATGAAAAATTGATGAACACCTTGGTAATATTTGGACGGTATGCACACGTGCATACAAGTATTGTTAATGGGTTTGGTGGAATTAGAGGATACCATCTCGGTTACTCCAATTAGAGGATACTATCTCCGTTGCCATCATTTGGAATCTAGATATAGGTTTGGACTTGATTCTAACTTGGCCGGAAGCGTCCATCCGACTACATGGCAACTCCATTGGTAACATCCAAAGGTGACAAAGTCACTCACTCTAGTAAGATGCTGGAGAAGAATACATCAAAAGAGGGGTTTGCCGCTGGGAAGAGGACACCAGGAAAGGTCTACCATTGGAGAAGAAAACAAAAAACTGGCCGACGGTGTGCCAATATTAATCTCATGACGGTGGCGCTATACATGATGGCTGGTCGATGAAAGATGGTATGTCGATTGGCTGTAGGGGGCGGGACGACGGAAATAAATAATAAAAGAGGGTGAAGTTGGAGGTATTGCTCTTTCTCGTGCCCTCGTCAAAAGCAAACCCAACCCTAGGAGGGTGGAAAATTGGAAATAGAAATCGAAGATACACAACAATTTTCAAACATATAATATAAAACGTATGGTAAATATCAATTTCTAACAAGTACTTTATACAGATAGAAGGGTACAGTGGGTATTCTTTTACTCAATCAGCGCTTGATGCAAAACATTTGGTAAACATAAATTTTTAAATAGCATTTACCCTAGTCGGTACTTACCCACAAATTTTGGTACACAACCCCTTACTAGGATATTACATAGTCGCATGACTAATTACTTGCACCTTTGTCCCTTTGGTTTGCACCCTATCTATTACCTCTCTTGTGGCTATCAGTATCCACTTTCATCATGAAACTCCTTCATGAGATTATTTGTTTGTGTACATGATTATTAACTCAACTTATTTGTATCCAACATTTTAACGAGAATAAGAAGGCTAAGTGCCATATGATGTGGACAATCGTATTGGAAACTCTCCATATAATGATGACCACATTGCAGTTACTGTACCGTTTTAGTTAGTGCAGCATCTAGAATATGGTGAACTTTAAAGGGTAATCTTGCAAATAAAAAGGATTGGCTGCGCAATTTGTTGTACCCTATTTATGTTAATTCTTTCATCTGGATTTGAAGTTAGCTTCACCGTTTTGACTAAACTTTAACATTAAAAAAAATAGCATTCAATATGTGTCATTTTTCATGCCCCAAAAATAGAAGCAAGACCCAGAAAGTAGGTCAGTTATTGAAAGAGGACATTTTACGCCTATTGTTTCATTTGCGAATCAATAACTTGGATCATGGAAGAAGTTAGTAGTTTTAGTTACTGCGTTAACAGCTTTTATTGGCTATACATCCATATTTATTTACTTTGTACTTTTCATTCTGTAGGGTGAACGCAATTTTAACAGATTCGGGGGTTGGTTAGGAAAGAACTCTACCATGGGAAAGAATTATAGACTCCTTGAAGATGTGCATGTTCATCTATTGGCATCCTCGCAATTTAATTCAGCCAGGTGTGTATTTTACTGCTAGATCACTTTGTTGACCATAATATTGCTGCATAAATTCTTGAATTTTGTTTCCTGCTAACTACTTTCAAAATACATAATTGGTTCATGTGATCAATGTTTATTAATCAAGGTTGTGTATTCATAACTGTCTGGCTTAATTTCTGAATCATCTATTTGAGTTCTCCATGCTTAGTACTTCAATATAAAACATCTGATTCCTTCTAGAAAATTCATATCCTTATAAACTTAGAAGGTCGCATCCATTGGTTTACGTGATCGATGTTTATATACCTATGGATGCATTCGGAAAGGTTCCTGAGAATATAGTTTTTAAGCCTTTATGGAGAAGGTGAAATACAAGTAAACTTCTGTGTAAATCCCATGTTAATAATCAACTTCGCTCTTGCTTCCTCAGTATCTAAGCATGATTCGATCAAAATTTATATATGACCACATATGCTCATATGCATGGTATCAGTATAAATCATTTTTTTATTAATTAAACAGTAACACTATTGGGCTCGTTTGGTTTGGTAACACTACCTACATGTTTGAGCATTATCATTACCAAATCCAGCTATGCCTGTTCATTGGGTCACGGGTGGACTAAACTGAGAAATCCAAAATAATGGAACCGGACCTACTGGAACCTGTTCAATCCCAAACTGAACTGTGAACATAATATAAATTTGGGACTTCTTTTTTTGAACAAAATAAACCGAAAAGATGGTGTCTTTTCAAGTTTGAGAGTTAACAAGTTAACAAAAACTTTGGTTCCTAACTGAGAGCCGCTATTTTTATAGTCAGTTGCTGGTTGAAGAATACCCAGCTTAGGTATCGACTGTTGCTTGTATGTGCTCAGAAATGGTGTAATCAAGGGAAATTTAGTATCGTTCTTATAAATCTGGATGATCCGTAATCCCTATAAATCTTGCAGCATAAAAAAATACCTTATTTTTTGCTTGAATTTGTTCTATTTCCATCGTTTCCTTGCATTGTAATTTCAAGTTGATATTGTTGTGAAATCTTATTATCATGCTGCTCAATGTTTGTAGGACAACCCTGTGTCTCGATTATCTCTCCCTTCTCCTTAAACAAATGACTGATCCATTGAAGATGCTGCCAAAGGTTGGTGCCACCAATTGCTACCCGTCGTGAGGAGTTGGATTTCAAATTGACATTCTTTCTCATGTTGGATAATTATCAGGATGAAGCCGTCGAAAAGGTTGTCGAATTTATGGATGCATACTCCATCAACCAGGAGGACTTCGAGTCGCTGATGCTTATGGCCAAGTTTCAGGTATCACTTCCATTCAATCATGGTAACCGCTTGTTTCTTGAAATGCTCATATTTTTCACTTGATCTCTAATTAACAATGTATTTATGTACTGTTCAGGGGCGTCCAAATCCACTTGATGGTGTTCAGCCTGCTGTGAAAGCCGCACTTACAAAGGCTTACAACAAAGGAAGCAGGTCACGTGTGATTCGTACAGCAGACTTGATCACACTTCCGGGGATCAAAAAGGCTCCAAAGAAACGGGTTGCAGCAATGTTGGAACCAGTAGATGATGGTGTGGGTGAGAATGGTGATGCCATAGCAGAGAAAGAAGAAAACAACTCAGATACCGAGGATTTGGGTATAACTTTTTTTCTACCAAGAGCACTCTACTTGATCTATGTTCTTCATATTAATGGGTTATCATAACTAGTTAATTTTTGTGATTTACATTAGAAGGTACAGCTGATGCCGAGGAAAAGCCAAAAGTGGATATTGAGAGTCTCAGTTCAAAAGGTAGGCACTGTTTTTCCGACAAATGTGGAACATATGTTCCATCTCATTTCCGTACTCTTAATTCTGTGTCAGCTTTCAATTGCGTATTCTTTTTGTTTGTGTAGGAATTCAAGTACAAATGAACTTAAAGGGTGCAGCCACAAAGAAGACCGCTTCTGGCAAGGGGCGAGGGGGAGGTAGTACTGGTTCTGCTTCCAAACGGAAAAGATGAATGATAGCTTCTGTGATCCATTACTTTTGTGACTGTTTTTGGGGTATCTAAGCAATGACAAAAATGTAAAGTTTTGAAGGCAGGAGGTAGATATGTTTTGGATCTTGGGACTTCTAATTGTGTGTGCATGCTTTCGGCATCACAAAATGCACTTATATTATGATCTTTTGCAATGCCCATGTTTAATTTTCCTTCTAGTTGCTGGTTGCATTTAGTATTTCCATGAAGTATAGGTTGCTACGGTTGATATCACCCACGTACTTACGATGGTGTGCGTTTGTGGGTTATTTGGCTAAATGACCTGTTAGACAAGTGTTTTTAAATCTATATCCTCTTTGACGGATTTCTAGGCATTTCTTTGTCTGGAATTGATATTCTTCAGTTAAGCCGTCACATTTTCAAACCTAAAAGAAGGGAATATATTTGGCCTGACTTTACTGTCTGCAAGTCTATACGGATTCAAAAGCTCGTAATCCCAATGCTGTTGAAAGAATTATAAAAAACTTGCTTGAAGATGACCGATCGATTACAACTGGACCCTTTCATCTTCTCCTCTACCGTTAACAATAAAATTCGTTTGTACTTTTGTTCCAAAATATATACAAAAGGGGTGTCGCTATACAGTCTCTTTATGTCGAAATAGTTGGGACGTTTTTAGACATGAGCCTTCCAAACATGTTCTCATTAAGCAGAAAATCTTGGGTTTTTTTGGGCATGGGCTTTTTGTGCATCTCTATATAAAAAGGGTTCAAATGGCATTAATAATGACCTTTTACAAAATTACAAGTCATCGTGTATATAAGTTAACTTTGTAAACCATAAAACCAGAGGTAATTATTTGTGAGATCTCTTCAGTAACCAGTTTTCTTCCTAATATATGTATGTAGTAAATAATCATATGTGAAAAAATAAAGCCTAAGCCTGAACCCCTATTTTCACAATATTAAACCAACCTAATCAATCACTCATGCCAAAATCAACCACCAAATGAAATCTGGTCTTAAAAAGAAGGGTTTGAGGGACCGTATCCGTTATGGTGCAATTTCTGCCATTTCCATGCAACCTGCAAACTCTTTTCTAAATCCGTGTATTGTGCCGACCATTTCAGTTCACGGAGGATCTTTGATGGGTCGCTGAATACTTCCGCATAGTCACCAGGTCGACGTGGCAAGTAGTCTACTTTAATTGATACCCCTGTTGCCTTCTTACAAGCTTCCACAAACTCTTTAACTGATCTGCCTTTTCCTGTACCAACATTGTAGATTCCGACTTGTCCAGGTTTTGAGTTCTCGAGTGCTTTTACATGAGCATCAACTAGATCAGTCACGTCAATGTAGTCACGTATGCAAGTCCCATCTGGGGTTTTATAATCTGTTCCTCGAACCTGGATGATCACATTCACCATGAATATAAAGGAATCAAGATCAGATTCTTCCTATTTATTCATTCTAAATAATATCTATTTTTGACAACTTGGCATGAGTTTGAATCCTAATCTTGGTAATGAATTACCAGGGGTGCATCTTGGTATGGTTTCTTGAGTCTTTCTCCAGTTTGTTAACAACTTAATGAGCATAATGGGACTTGTAGTTTATTCGGTCAGCTTTACATGACTGCTTGGTAGTGGCTTACTGGCTTATTTAGTAAGCTTTTAAGGAGAACTTTGTGCAGAAAGCCAAACATTTTCCGTCTATGAAAAAATCCTCCCAAACTGTAGGGACAGATTAATCCACACAACCAGTTTTATCCTTGCATGACTTAAAGCTTGATTGTTAGTAGCTTAATGAGCTTAATGGGAGTATGGGACTCACGTCTTATTCGGCCATTTATACATGATTGTTTGGTAGTAGCTTAATGATATAGAACGTGGCTTATTCAGTAAGTTTCTCGGGTAGAGCTTTATGCAAAAAACCAATTTTTTTTCTCCAAACCTGTCCCTCCCACCTATAAAACACGATCCTTCCATCTACGAAAAAGCTTTCTCAAACAAAAACCTTTCGAAACTATATAGACAGATTAATCCACACATATAGCTTTATTCATAGAGGACTTCATGAAAAACCTACCAAACAGAGTGGAAAACCAACCAAACAGCCCCTTAAAGATTCTATAAAAGCAGCATAGAAAGTAAAGTGTTTCATGAGAATTACCTTGAGCCCGTTGGTAATCCCACGTGCTGCATCGAAGCATGCACCTGAAATTCTTCCATGTTCACGTAATTCAGGTCTCGGTGCTTCTCCTAACCTTCCATCTGGATCTGACCCAATCACATTGAAGTATCTGGGAATCGAACAAATAGTAAGAAGAAGCAAAACAAAAAGATAGGGAACTGTATGCATATCCAGTTACAGAAACACCAACCTTAAAATCATGACCGCCATGTCTGAATTTTTATGGAAATCCTGAATAATATCTTCCGACATCTTTTTGGCTTTCCCGTAAGGATTAATTGGGTGCTAGAATAACCAACACAAATATTAGGTGCCAAGCAAGATAACCACATATTGCACGTAACAAATACCTGAGGAGTTTCTTCTGTAATGGGCATCTTCTCCGGCTCCCCATATGTAGCACATGTGCTCGAGTATATCAGAGTATTAACATTGTGTGCTGCCATTGCCTCCAATACCACCAACGTATTTGATGTGATATTGTGATAATATCTACACGATTACGAAAAGAAGCTTGGGAAGTCAGAATTTTTTTATATATATAACTACTGTTACATCAGATTTCAAGCAAGTTTAAAGAATCATTATGACGGTTGATAATAGAGTCAACAAGAAGATTAGGCATCTCTTTTATAAAAAACATCCTAAGCAAATGGCAGTCAAAGCACCAACTACATATATACGGTGCATGTAAGCATGCAATACAAATTTCCAGTAGTCGTTACACGCACTCAGGGGTATAAAATAAGCAACACGATATAATTGAAATATGGAAAAGAACACACATAAAAAGCATGGTTCACTAAAAAGGGCCTGTTTGGTTTGACTGAATGTCTTTGAAGGATTTGGATTTTGTGGAAGGCTTTGGAATCTTTGATTTGCAGGATTTGGAATGGAATTGAATCCCATTATTTATAAAAACAATATATAATTTTTTTCAAATCATTAAACTACCTTTTAATTAATTGATTATTACAAAGCAAGTGCATTTTAACATATTTTAAAACATTATCACAAAAAGAATTTTACGAAATCCAGCGAAATACCCACTACACCCATGGGATTTCTAAAATCCATGTTTGTGGGATTTCATTGAAATCCTGGGATTTTAAATCCAAGCACTCCTTCAAACCCAAACATAGGATTCGAATGGAATTTAATCCCAAATCCTATCAAATCCCACAAACCAAATGGGAGCTAACCTCCTATGGAATCAAGGGTATACTTACTTTAGTGGATCAAGGGTACTTTCCCCAACATATGCAACTGCTGCAAAATGCATCACTGCATCAAATGCATTTTCAGAAAAGATTTTGTTCACCTGAAATATTTTATCAAGGAACACACACGTGGATGCTGATTATTGTTATCAACACGATAAGTATTACGGGTATATATTGTTATTGCTCGCTTATGTTTTAGAGGATACGGCTTTTGGATCGCCCAAATCTGCATAAATGAATTGAAGTCTCCCAGGTTCTGGGAACAATTCTTGAAGTACTTTGACAGCACCTAGGTTTCCACGAGAGAGATTGTCCTATCACGCAATTATACAAATTTGTCTCGATTACACCTCACAATATGGCAGTAGATTGTTATGGTATTATAGTTTAAGGGTCAGGTTCTGGGGAAAACCGCAAAAATAATGAAAAATTGAAGAACACGCTAGTAACTACTCATCTGGACGGCATGCACATGTGCATACAAGTAATTTGTAAGCAATTTGTCCGCACACGTGCATAAAAACCAAGAAACAACTTCAATTACTTGTATGCACATGTGCATACTGTCAAGCTGAACGGTTACAGGGTGTTCCTCAGTTTTTCATTTTTTTGGGGGGTTTACCTCTAACCTCCCTCTATAGTTGAATACCAGGTAAGTAATTAACAAGAAGCAAAGAGATATACCACTATAGTCACACGATAAGACTCTTTTAAAAGCCGTAGTGAAGCATGAGAACCAATATAGCCAGCACCTCCAGTTACCAACACGTGGGTAACCCCTGTTTCGTGCCGAGAGAACTTCAAAACAGAAACATAAGAGTGTCTCAGATACAGAGCATTATTGGATCTTAGTATAAAAAATTGTAATTGGTTAATAGAGCATCTCCAATGGAGCGACTTATAAGAGCCTTCCTTTTGCACTTCTTTCGGTCACATCATTGCCAACTCAACAAATTAAGAACTACTATAAAACTCCACAATGGTAGTGACTAATAGGAACCTCCTTTGTGGGTCCCATGTATTATTTCAACATCAATAATGAATATAAAAATAAATAAATAAATAAATATATATATATATATATATCTTATAAAACTAATAAAATATCATTTCACACAAAATTCAAGGTAAGAACCAAGGTGATACGACCATAGACTAGGAGGTGTAAGTGCTATAATGCCTAACGATTATGTAAATAAATCACATGTATTTATTATTCAAAACTTAGCAGTTCACCAAAAATCCATACTGTGAAACGGACATGTCGAATGATTCTAGAAAATTTTCTAATCAACACAGCTTTAGAATATATTTAAATTGTTACATTGAAAAGAACAAACTGGCAAAATTAAGGATGGAATGACTTGAAGCAAATTAAAACATAAAACTGAATGATAAGGGTCTGCTTTACTTACGACGTTAGGGCTCTTGAAAGATGGGGATTGTTTGAGCATAAAAATGCATAATCCTACAAGGGCTATAGCCAAAATAATCTTTCTCACGAAACCTTTCTTCTTGTTTGGCTCTGTATGATCCATGCCTGCAACCACAAAAAACCAAAAATAACTTTCAAATCCTGTGAACTTTTAAGGTTATAGGATAGTTAAAACAGAAAGATGTCATCACCATTATCAGCTGACCAACCACGTGCAACTGTTTTTCCCTGATCGACTTGGTTTAGTTCATTAATAAGAACATCAAGTTGATGTTTTACAATAAGAGACAAAAAATCATTGAATACCATATACAAACCGAATAAACAAAGATCAAATCATCTTGAAAACTACATGTAAAGATCAAGATATAACGTACTGACCCAAAGCCAAAGCACAAAATTTCACAGGGTTAGGGTATGTACGTTAGCAGCTTAATAAGCTTAGTGGGACTCGCAACTTATCCAGTCGGCTACACATGACTGTTTGGCAGTGGCCTAATGATTTAGATAGTGGCTTATTCAGTAAACTTCTAGGAGGGAGCTCTATGCAGAAAGCCAAGTTTTATCCAAACCTGCCCCTCCCAACTAAAAAAACATGTTCCTTCCATTCATGAGAAAGACCCTCATAACAAAAACCTTTGCAATTATATAGACAGATTAATCCACAGAGTATCTTTATCCTTACATGACTTAATGGAAAACAAACCAAACAGCCTCTTACTGAAATTAGTGAATGAATTTGTAGTGTTACCTCCTAAAGCATAGGACCTGTTAGGCCGTGCTTGAGATCTTGACTTGTTAAAGTTCAGCATTTGTAGAAGAATCCCTATGTGAAATTAACTATTGGTGATTAAACTGCTGCTGCACATTAAGATAAACTTGCTTTAATAAGTTGTAGATTTAAATTACGAACAGAATTGCTACAGAAATTCTTAAAAAGGTATAAAGAAAAGGGAACAAGAAAACAGAAACAAGAGCCTTGTTACTAATATTTGTTTCGATATATTCATATGGGTAATCCTTAGATCATGATATTTGATCATATTTAGTTTTTAAGTTTAGTGATCTAACGTTGATTATGCCGACTTTTGCTTGTATTTGATTGCAGATCAAGCTTTGTGAATTTTATCCTCCTTCTAGGATCTCAATTAATCTCTGGCTTGCTACATATTTCAAATCGTTAACGTTTTTTAGCCGATACAGGTTGATTTTGATTTTTTTGAGTTGTAACAAACTTAAATTGGAATGCGAAAAATCAAAATCAAACTGAAGCAGCTAAAGCATTAACAATTTAAAACATATAGCAAGCAGGGGATTGTTTGAAATCCCAGAAAGACAACAAAATTCACGAAGCTCAATCTTCAATCACTTACAAGCAAACAAAGGTGGGCATGATCAACGTTGGATCACTAAACTAAAACACAAAATATGATTGAATTTCAATGATCTAAGGATTACCCATATGAATATAAGCAAACAACAATCAAAACACAAGCATGGTTGTAGCAAAAATCGATAATCAAGCTAGAAATCGAGTGAAACAAAACCATTTTTTCCCCCAATAATTGGGCAAAAGAATTACTAGCATCCAAAAAACCTGCGTATGCACAACAAGATCTAATCTATGAAGAGAGCAACTTGTTTTTACATTTCGAAGGAAATGATTCATCATTATGTGATTGATTGGAAAATGAGAAAAGGGTAAAGAAAGAAGATGTAAAGAAAGAAAGAAGGGGAGAGACGTACTGCGATTGAAAGAGGGAAGAAAGCATAGGACAGACGAATGGTGTTTGTTGTGAATCGTCGTTCTCTGTGTGTAGGTTTTTTGAATCACGAAACGGAGCAATCGCCGGTGGTGGTGCCATCTGCCAAGTCAAAATGGAGGAGGGAGAATGTCTTCCAAAACACTAAATATTTTATTCCATTTAAAACCATATAATCAAGAGTCACCATATTTGAACTTCCATGGCTACATGGGGATTTTTATTTATCATTGGATTTGAACCTGAAACCTCAAGACACTTTTGACATTTGGAGCCGAAGCTCAAACCAATCAAACACCGCTCTTGTGGTTTTTAAAACAATTTTTTTAGCGTTTCTTAAAATTACTGTCTATATTTCTGTTCTTGATTCTTAAAATAATTATCTGTATTTTTATTTATATTTCATAATTCACTCTTGATTAATGCATAAATATTTAATAAGATAGATACATACCTTGAGACCAGAGCTCCGCTGAATTTTTTAAAATGTCATCTGATCGGTGCTTTGAAAAGATCATGCTTGAGATGAGGTTCGTGTATTTGTTTTGGTAAGGTCCGTTGTCCAATTTTTGTGTTACCTTCTGTCAATCGTCAATGCGGCTCGTTCTTCCTTGTTGAAAAGAGGGACCTGCTTCGCCGATGGTTTTCGAGTGTCTATTGATGTTCGCTCTTCCCTTACTTATATTCCAATTATTTTGATATAATCAAAGTAATTGTATCTGATGAACGATACTGATATAACATGACATGTTTATGTGTAGGTAAGAGTCACGTTTTCAAACATGTTTAGAAGAAAAATGTGAATAAGAAAGAGTCGGGATTGGAAAATTTAGGTGTGAAAAAGCAAGACGAAAGAGAAGGTTAGGTGGAAAAAAGTTCGGTTATCTTCATTTTATCTTATCACTCGAATTCATATGTGGAACCTAACATGTATTTTATTTAACCTTCGTTTTTATATTTTATAAAAAAAATATAAACTTGTTATATATCGGATAATTCAAGGAAGAACTGATTAGTTTATAGTAACCGTGAGATTCAATGTGAACCACTCGTTTGAGATACTTAAGGATATTTTTTAAATAATTTAAAAGGTTAATATAATAATTCAATTTTGACAACTAATCAAAATATTTAATTAATTTTTTTAGAAGGAAATATTTAATTAAAATTAGTTACATAGTATATCAATTACCTAATATATATCGTATTTTAAAGACGTTTGTGAATCAAAATTTATCATAATGATAACGTTCACAATATTTCACGTGTATCACAATATATTTTTCTTTGTTTTATGAAATGTATCATAGTGTGCATTTTTGTTATTTTCATTGATTTACAAAGTGTATCACATTATGCATCTTATATGTGTATCTGGGTATCACAATTAATATCGTTTGTAGGCATCACAGTTTATATTATGTGTTTACATAAGGTTTATCGAAATAACATTCACCGAATAAGATTCGCCGGAGAGAGAAGAGATGATATTTATAAAATCCCTAAAATGTCCTTAATTAATATTTTAAGTTAAAATTACCAAAAACTTATATCTTAATTTAACATTTGATTTGTGATTGAGATTAGATCTCACGATTACCACACACAAAATAGTTCTCATTTGATTAGGTTCTCTCTCTCTCTCTCTCTATATATATATATATATAGTTGGGTTCACGTGAGATCAAAGGTTTTTCGTGAGACCCGTAAGACCAATTTATATTCATTGATCAACTTTATAAACTAATGATCTAATGGTCTAAAGTTGCACGGCGGCATTTTTGTAATTATTGAGAAGTCTCGTGGCGTTTATAAATGTTCAGATCTGACGATTGTAAATCTAATCCAAGGGTTGAGAATTGATCTTACGGGTCTCACGAAAAACTATTATTCTCACATTATGCCAAGTCTATATATATATAGGAAGTTTCAAATGTAACTCATCATATTTGTACAACCAATATAACCCAATCAATTGAAATATTTATGGAAATGATGAGAATTCAGTTTTTATGATTTGAATATTTATGAAAGATTATTAAAATTCATTAATTATGATCACTACTTTATATTAGGAAACAATACAAACTTTTATGAAATCACATATTCATCAAATTAAATGGACAGTTGAGATTGAATTGTATTGGTTATACAAATGTAAATGGTTGCATAATAATTCACCTTATATATAAAAATAATATTTGTAAAAGAAGTCAACAATTTTATTAAATTATATGTCAAAAGTAAACATTATAATGTTTTTAACATGAAGAGATTGTCGTTTTTAGAGGAGAAAACGTGTTTTATTAATTATTGTGTGGGAACATCATATGATTAAATTCCAAGTTATGATTTTTTTTCAATTTTAAAAGTTACAATGTTTAACTTAATAAATAATTCTGTAAAAATATTGTTGAATAATTGAATACATAAAATAGTCGTTAATATAAACTAAATAAAATATTATAAGTATCTTATAATGATTGTCAATAGACAAATAAATAAAGAGACTGTGTTTTGAACTTGTGATGGAACAGATATATCATACATGTTGAATAACAGGTAAAAATAAGTCGAGCTCGACATACCAAATATACGAAAACCGTATTTTATTAATAATACATCTATACTATCTTATTAAGCAAATTTAGCAAAAGTCTTAAAGTTTTAAAATACTGACCAAAATACCCTTTATACTCACTTTTTCACCCCCTCCTCTCCTCATATACACTCATCCCCTCACATAAACTCACTCTCTCACAACCATTTTTTTAAAATTATAATTTTAAATTTACACTTTATACCCCTATAATTAATTAATTAATTAATTTACTTTACGTCATTTACTTTTAAATGTTTTATTTTAAACTTTTATCAAATTAACATACATAATTGTATATCAATTAAAACATGTTTAAAAAATACATTTTTATTTTAACAAGTTACATCATTATAATCTTCTTAATACCTTCGAAATGAGTCCAATATTGAATAGTTTTTGACTTAATTATATTATTATATATTATATATACGGTGAAAAAATATTTTTAATATTTACGATTTATATTTTTATAGTTATTTATTTATATATATACTATATATTTTGGGGTTAGACTATCCAAATTGCACTGTATAATATGTTTTGAATTAATATATTCTTGGGTTTTTTTGAAATATATATATATATGTATTAATTCAACCTTAATCTGAGTTTCTGAACAAAAAAGAGGGTAAGCAGTTGAAATTTCATTCTAAAACCCATTTTTTTTTGTCTTTTCATGGCTTATGATATGTCAAATTTGTAGTTTTCTTTATTGGTTTTAAGTGTTTATCTTAAAACTCAAGTTTCTTGGTTCTTTGCTCTTGGTGTAAATCGAATACATTTGTGGAGTCGTTTAAATATGTTGGATTTTAAATATATTGGATTTTAAACTGTCATACAATTTTTTGCATCGATAGTCTGTAATTGGAACCATAACTCTTATTTATTTAAATTGTATTAATATGTAAAGATCAAGTGTAACCTATATCATCGTTAAATCTTATCTTATAAAACCAGTGGAACTTCAAAATCGTTAAAATTCATGGCTCCCGCCGTATTGCACGGGTACACAACTAGTATTACTAAAAGGAAATTTGAGTTTTTATGCCAAGTGTTGCCCTAAATATAAAAAATATGCTCAATGTTACAAGTTTCTTAACAATATCATTCAACTTTCAAATCCTTCACAAAATAACCCCACTCTTAAATACAAACTATGCTTGATTATATCCACCAATTCTAAGAGGGTCTTTGGGATTGCTTATTTGAAACAACTTATACTTTTCTACAAAAACACTTATCAACCTATTATCAGAATGGTTTAACTTCTTTCAAAACTCCTTATTACCGGTTTGACACCGGTATAAGTTGTTTATCCGAACACTCAAAAATGCTTATTACCGGTGTCACACCGGAATAAGTCAATAAGTTGTTTTTATAGGCAATCCCAAACACCCCTTAAACAACTAAGAGGATGTTTGGTTAGAACCTTAGAGACCTAGAGGTATTAGACAGTAACCAATGAGCATGAAAATAAAAGTAACTGTTTGCTTTTAGATAATACAATGGACCATTTCCCTGGAAGTCCAAATTTTGATTTCAGGTTAAACCTGTCATTTTCATTCCTCTGACTGAACCAAACGCAATCATTTTGATAGCTCCTTTACATGTCTTCTATCCTAACGATGGTTCGATTACTTTTAAGAACATCATCCCGCTCATGCAAAAAATAATAATTTATCTGTAATAGTTTCTCATCCTCGGTCACATTTTCTGTTAAACTTAACTCTACCTGCATAACGCTAAACAAACATTAATAACTTTTAACGCTTTAGCTCTTCACATACGATGATCTCAATGCTATCTCGAGAGGTTCACCCGATTCCAATAAAGATGTATTAACTTGTTAATTGCAACATTCTGCTTGAAAAGAACGTATGTTGAAAACAAAAGGATCATGCCCGACTTCTTCATTTTTCTGATGTGCAACACGAACGCTAGTCATCCCTCTTACGAGAGACCCAAAATCAACATCCCCACATTTCCCTATTAGGTTTGGAGGTCTTGGGTGAAGGTAATCCAATGACTTTTTTGTTCTATTGTCTACCTTCTCGTAAAAGTTGCAAACCACTACTCATTTTTATGAGAGACAGGTTCGGAAAAACTTGACTTTTTGCATAAAAGTTCCCCCTAGAAGCTTACCGAATAAGCCACTATCAAACAATCATGTATAGTTGACTAAATAAGTTGTGAGTCCAATAAGTTGGGTACCTCTGAATTAGCTGCAAATTGCAACCAGGGTTTGATGGATCTTCATTCACACTTGTTTCAGTTTGTTGGTTCTTAGCACTTATTATCAAAACACATTGATTTGTTCATATATCTCCCTGTAAATCTTTCTATTTCCACAAATGAAATATCACTAGACAAAACATTCATGCAAAATCCAATTCATTTACGGATTAATTCTTACCTTCAACTCAATACGGACTGAAAAATGGCACCAATGTCTAGTTGCAACTTCAAGATCTATCTTACCTCAGCTGGTTCTACAAGCAAAGGGGAAATGAACATCTGATCATACAGATGATTAATTGCTCAGTAAAAGTAGCCCAAAACCTGACCACCAACGTTCTGCCGAATTGCCTCTTCATGGTCCAATACACCATTTGGGGTCGTTATCACCACATATCCCCACTGCATCAATCGTTAAAAAGAACAATGTAAACTCAACCCGTGAATAGATGACAGTATCCTTTCCGATACACTACTAGCAAAAATGACATGAAAATTCAATCTAGAAGGGGTTTGAACTCATAACCTCTAAAAAGTAAACACATATGTTATCTATTCTTATGGATATAGTTTGTAATAAACAAGTTTTTCTCCAAATAAATCTAACCCGAAAAGGTTGCCTTCAAAGTAGAGCTAAATCAATCCTATAAAGCTAAATCTTTTATGAATACACAGGCACCGTTAACTACATTTCTTGATCATGGGTAAATAGAGTCATATTAGAACAATTCACATGAAAATGTTTGACAACAAATATTGAACAGATTTCAAGAATAATAACTTATACATGACATGAGAGGTTATGGATGGTAAACCTGCTGTGTTGGAAGGGTGCGTAGTCTATAATTCTCTATCTCGTGAGCTTTGATGTCTTGTCTATATGTAATAGCTCGACAATCTTTAATCCTTCCCAGAAGTTCGACTTTTATCTTTCCCACTCTGTGAGGATCATACACTTCAAAATTTTTGACATACCCTGGAATTCAAAGCAAAAAAATAGTAGCACGATATATGTGTGCAAGGACATTCAACTACTTTTAGAACTCAATAACACTGTCTATGATAACAAAATTGAAAATGCACTGCCAAATTCTAGAACAAGAGGTGGATGTAGCAAAGATTTATATACTTATAACCTCATAATGATCAATGCAGCACCAATTGACGAATATGTGAGAATGTGATACTTATCACTTCATGTAATTATATGTAATCACCAAAATCATGATTTCATAACTATATTATACCAAATGTCTCATCATGTATTGGTGTTTCCAGAAAAGAAGTGCAAGCATATGAAGCAGATCCTATTGACATATCAAATGGTAAATAGACTGGTTCCTGTGGACGCACCAAGGTGCGTCGTGATGATTGGACAGCCATTAGCCATTATTTCATCATTTTGCACGACATGTCGACATATGGGCTTGACTTTTCTATAGTTTCAACATTTGAAGCTTACCCCACAACAGAGAGAATCTAGTTGTCGATATAAACAAAGACACAGACAAAACTCAAATAGTCGAATGCCCACATGAGAAGGAATGACTTGATAAAAGTTGAGACTAAAGTTATTATCAGAAATGCCACCATGTTGGATGGCGTAAATGCGGGAACAATTACCCTTTGAGTCCAACTATGGTGAAAGCAGGAACAGTTGGACACTGGAAAGCAAAACAAGGATAAATGTCTGGCACCAAACATAGATAATGGCATGATTATTCATGGTTGAAGAACAACAATATAATTCAAACCTCCCCGCAGAGGATGAAACCTCCACACACTCACAGCGTAGCAAGAAACAGAAACCAAAATAAACAAACCCATTGCTCATTTTCACTCAAATATTACTTCCTTGTAATATAAATCCCAAGATTCTTCATAATACCATCCTTAACCTTCACACAATCGTAGCTTTCTGTAATTCAACTGCTGAGCAGGTTCTGGTTGCAATATAATTAAGTTTGTACAAGTTCTTTTGCACCTTTGCACCTCTTAGAAGCATTTCCATCTATCATCCCCATCCTCAAATAGACATATGGCAACTTGTTGAACAGTGAATACAAGGTCACAGATTTAAAATTTTATGTCATATTCCAGCAAACACCATGGATAGTACCAGAGAACTTAAAAGAAAGCAATTTCCTTCCTTGATTCAGAATCATATTCGCAAACCTATTCGATGGTCCATTTGGTGACATGAAACAGATTGGGAACTTGAGTTCAGTTAGACTTTAGCTCTGTAGTTTACATTAGTACATACAACTTCAATATAGTAACATACTTTATCAACCTATAATGTGGTCCTATATCACCCACAAAGAGCAGATCCTCCAATGAGGCTAATTGATATGCTCTTTGATGACAAGTAATCAAAATTATAGAATGACCATGTTATTCCTTCACCATAAAGTAAAAACAACAACAACAAGCATATCATCCAAACTAATACCAACATAATGTCTACCGATAAATTGCAAACACATAGACTTAATTACAGCAATCTGAAATAACTCAGAGACCAGTCTAAAAACCCTAATTGCAAGTCCATCAAGTTCAGATGCTTAGAATTCTGATTACAGACCCAACAAGTCTTTCAATTTGAAATAACAAGATGTAGGAGAAAAATGAAGGGTACCTACCTCGGTGTTTCATGATGCTGAGAAAGGAAGAGATGACATTGGAGATAGGTTGAAGCTGAGCCGATGCAAACCCTCTCTTCTCGGCGTTAACCATGGTCCTCAAAGCGTCGTTCAATATCCTCCTCCCCATTTCGTTTTCGTCGAGCTCCGATGGACAGCCGATGTAGTGACAGTGGACATATCAACCACCTGAGCCCTAGAAAAAGACCCGCCCAATATGGATATTGGGCTTTATTCTGGTACCCGACCCGTAACTCTATTTTGTTCGAACAAAATCTAAAATCTTCAAAAACCATTTTAACATAAAAAATTTCTTTATTTTAAATATTATAATATTAAATATATTATTAAAATATTATGTATATAATAAAACATTATTTCTTTCATAAACATTTAATTTTAAAGTTTATTATCAATAAAAATTTAATAAAATATTATTTCCCTCTTACTAACTACTTTTTGGTAACTACTTGAATTTGGACGATTTCACCTATTGTCTTACTTTTTCCATTTTCGAAAAGAGTTTGTTAAATCTGTTGTAGCAAAATTTAGTTAAAAATACCAACAAAAAAACCTCTGCTTTATTGCATTTTGGAGAATTTGTTGAAAATGCTCTCACGTGACTTATTTTTTAAAATAAGTCAACGTAAACTATATTTTTATCTGTAATTGTATGAAACCAGATTTTTCATAATTTATTTAAAACGAAGTAATTCAATTTCGACATTTTTTAAGAGAAAAAGGGATGGAGATGGAGATGGCTGGTGGTTGTGGATTTACCGGCGATGGCCGGTACTTTGAATTTTCAAAAAATCCTAACCGTTGATCAAAAGAATGAAGATCAAAATTATGTTGTAACAGTTGTACCTTTTAATTTGGTTGCATTTTAAGATTAACATAATTTCTAAAATATAATTGAGTGAAGATGTACTTCCATACTTCTACCTTCCCGCCCTAAACCGAGTGCTAGCGAAGAACAAAGGTCCAACAATCATTGCCCGAACTGAAGCAAAAATATTCTGATAAAGACGTCCATCAGTAATTTAGCAAAGCCCTACATGAAAAATCATAAAGAGGCTATTGTCATCATTAAGAGGTTGGTTTTTTTTTGCCCAACAACCTCAGCCTCTTAATGATTCAGACATAACCTCTTAATAGCACCATTAAGAGGCAAACAAACAGCCCCTAAATATGCTAAACACACCCATTCCATTAGCATACAAATTACCAAGGTATTTCTAATATTGGATAGCTAGGAATTCTTTACAAGATTTCAACAAATTCAAAAATATTGTATTCGGTTCTTCGTTTCTAATCGACAAAATGGTGATCTTATCGATCAGTTGGAGAAGCGTTTCCTCCCGGAAAAGGTGGGGATCGTCGTTGAAACGATGCAACCACGAGTTCCGGGAATATTTATGTGATTCCGTTGACGGAAGACAGATTAAACAGGAGAAAGCAGAAGCATAGTCTTCTTGCTTCAGGTTCATGCAAAACATTTCTTGAACTAAAAGTGGTGGTGGAACTTGATTACCTTCAATCAACTGCTTCCAGGTTGTTTCCAATAGATTCACCTGTGCATATACACACAAAATGAATCAAAAACGTCTTATCAACTTTTGTAACATCTTTACATATGACACACGATTGTTTCGTCCTATAAACGTAAGTTCTATAAAGCAGTCTATTAGGACATTTAGACATATTTGGCGCAACCAAAGATTAAAGAAATGGTGCCAAAGAGAAAAATACTACCTTTCCAGCCTTGGAGGCTTCCAGTATCATTCGACAATGTCGTTTTGTATTGAAGTAGTATCCATGTTGCAGCATCCGTGTGTAGAAAAACTCGAGATCATCCCATCGTTGATTCACCAAACAGGCGTCTAACATCAAGTTGAAAGTATAAATATCTGGTAACACCGTGTGCCTGTAATCGGCTGAACTTGTAACATGTCCCCTCTTCTCCAATAATTTATGGAACAACTCTCTTGCTTCTTCAAACAGATGGTGATCAAGATACCCTTTGAGCATAACATTATATGTAACTAAGTTTGGGAAGCAAAACTTGTGCATGTGATTGAATATGTAGATTCCGCTTTTGATTTTGCCAGAGTCCAAACTAGCTTGAATTAACCCGGTATAAGTCACCACCAGAGGTTTATTTGCTACCTTGCATACCTTTTCAATCTGTGCAGGAAATGTAAAAACATAAAAATTACACATCATGAATATAAAGTTTGATCATTGGTCGGGTATCTCAGATATGCTTAAATGATGATACCGTAGGAATCTTGTGGACCAAAATCAATACTGATAATAATTTACAACGATATAGAGAGAGAGGGTTGAGATCAAATGAGAAGATGGTCAATTTTCGAGAAAATGAGAAGTTCCAAGATCACATGTAATGACATGCGATATAAAACACATAATCACTTGATACAAACATGTGTTGTCGACTGACCATAGAGCGGGCAAGCTTTCCCGTGACCCTTGGTCACAAGCCGGCGTCCTTTTGGACATCATGTATCACATGCGATCTTGCACTGTAATCACATATGATCTTGAAACTTCCAGTTAATGTTCTCATTTGAACATTAATGTTCTCATTGGCACCCTTTCTTAATCTCTTATTTAGTTAATGTTCATGTTTGAACCTCCCTCTATATATATATAGACAAGGGATTGTGTGAGAATAAGAGTAAGGTGAGAAGTGTAAGAACGGATTTGGACCCTTGATCACTTTCAATCTCAAACCAACCCATGAATTGTGCTTTAGAAGGGAATTGATCGAGTGCTTCTCATTAGTATTGATCTAGTGGAACTCTTCAATTAGGATTGATCCAAGGGTGGTCTTCTTACCCTTCTCACCATAACTCCCATTCTCACCGCAAACCATATATATACATATATATATATATATATATATATATATATATATATATATATATATATATATATATATATATATCCATGGTGAAAGCCATTGGTATCCCACAATCTAGGACTCCCAAGGAGTTTATAAATCGCTATGTGGGACGGGATGTCACAGTATCTCTCAATT